GGTTATATTAAATGTGTAAATTTGCACTATGCATAAATAGGTACTACATACGAGGAAGTAAAAACAAGTTATCGTTGCGACTGCATTCTTGTAAACTCATAAGTAGAACATAACGCAATTTTTATAGTAATTCGCAATTAGAAATGTCATACGTTGTAAAGTCAAGGATTCCCTCCGTACGGACGAAAGTGCGAAACAGGAAAACTGTAACTTTGATATAAATCACTGGTGATGATGCTCGCGCATTTTTGATACCAATCCAAATGCCAAACGCGATGAATAAATCAGGTAGCTGCAGCACGTGGAGAAGAAAAGGTTGGCCAAAAACTACGAATGGAGGTTATTACCCAAAGTACGTCAGGCTCGCACTTTGAAATTGTAATCTAATCTAACGACGACGCGCTACCAGTTTACAGAAAACAGAGAAGCGATAAATTAGAAGATCAACGTTAGAACTGTGGAAAGAACAAAAAAATATTGTGGGAACGTACGATTTGGAGAATTTCCGGATACACTTTTATCTAATCTTCGAGCGCACAACCAATGTAAATTTTGACCTTCCGTGGTATACACCAATTATAATCTTATCAATAATTATATGAAGCCACGATGTGATAAATGGGAAATAAATGGCTATTATACCAATATACTATTGGAACAGTCAGAGTCATGCGACCATGAACAAATAAACGTCATTTGAGTTCGTCCGTGAACTTTGAATGAGAAAGTTGGTCCCATATTTCCCAAATTCTAAAATAAAATCGGTCGCTGCACTGAGCCTTGAGACACCCCAACCCCTACTGTTTATAAGCGCACTGCCTTTGCTGGCAGATCCTGGGTGCTATAATGCAAATTCACAAAAGTGGACACGTTTGTGTTATCTCACGATTAAATGGTAATTATCTGATATGTTCATGTAAATAAACTGTTTTTGAGGACTTATACTATTTATACATCAACCATTGAATTGAGAATTGACAGAAAATCGATTTTTTTGTAGTACAGAGCAAATGAAGGTTGCACATCGCACATTTTACAATCGTTTTCCGAATTTGTCCACATTTCAAAACATTTCCTAAATATTTCAAAAAAGATTTAAAAAAAAATTTTATATTCCTCGGTAGGGAGGTCCAGGTTGGGGGCTGTTATTAAACGAATACAGCTGCTACTGAATTAAATTTATTCTCCCTAAACGTTTTAGTGTGTGTGTACTACAGGAAGGCCTACAATTAGCAGTAAATTTAACCCGAGCAAGAGCAAGTTCGAGTATATTGCCCTTCCTGCTGATATTCACGGAGCGTATCGGTCGTTGTAAACTATATCTCTCACCGGCCGCAAAATAAAACTTGTTTTACTATTACAATATTTCTGTTTTAAGTTCTCGCGTCACACGCTCGACGATAAAAAAAACGAAATCATTAAAAACAACACTAATGGCAGGAAAATCGCCGGTTGTGCAAAGCTTACTACTTACAAATTAGAAGTTACATTTGCGTTTAGCGTATATCATTTCAAAGTAAAATTAATTCGTGAGCACAATGAGATTACGCCATTTCCGTGCATCACGTTTCGCTAGGAGCATTTTGACCAACAATTTTTTGCAAAAATCATCGGCACTCCTTAAAAAATATGTTATTGATATAAAGAGCTTAAAATAGTACCTTTTTTAAAATCACAAACTTTTTTTAGTTGAAATTTTTAATTCAAGTCTTACACAATGACTTTGTTCATCGCTTCTGTCCGTTTGGTTTAAAACTAATTTTAGGGAAATTGATATAGTCTTGATAAATAGACAGCTTGAAGCAACAGAGTGGTATTAGTACAGTAAATGATTATGAAGTTATTAGAAATTAGTCTTAGTGGATACAAATAAGTGTGTAAAAAAAATTGGGCCGTGGAGCCCAAAAAAAAATTCATTGCAAATTCGTATTTCTATAATTCATTTTTTCCTGTCAAATATTTGACAGCTCATTTAAAGGGATATCCTGGTTTGGTTTAAAAAAACCAACATTCCTAGATCAAAATCCAAAATCTTAAATGCTCCTGTTTAGTTAGAAGATTCAAGTAGAAAGTCTCTGAAAATTATTAGGTAATCGTATAAATGTGCGGGTATTGAGGCCAACATGCCAAAAATTACTTTCCCCTTCCACTCTTCTCTGGAAAAAATGAAACTTCCAATAAAATGTGTAAATAATTCTACAAAGCGAACGTGTCTTTCGATTGATCCGAAACATCCAAATAAAGGCGACTATTATCTTTATTTGACGTAAATAAAATGCGAAGAAAACGGTAAATCTGAAGGTTACCACGCAACTGATTCACGCGAGTTATTTATCTTGCGGTCGGTTCGCCAAATAAAATGTGTACTTGGTATATCACTACGAGATAGTCCAGTTAATCTCGTTTCCCAGTAGATACCTCAAATTCAGTAAATTTCTGTCGAGAAAAAAATAACTGAGGTACACCTCATCTCCTGATTAACATATCAAAAATGCATCTCCGAAAATGACAGCTAATATTGTTAATTTATTAAAAAAGATTGAAAATTCGCAACACTGATAGTTCTACTGCTCGAGGAAAAAAATACCATTTTCTAGGAAAAATTAATTTTTTTCTCGATTTTTTGAGAATCTGATTTCCAAGGAAATTTATTAATTAATTTCCTACCAGTAACGCCGCCATAGGGTATATTTAAATTTGCTGCTGCGGGCTCGGCTGCGGGTCGTCTGTACTGTCAGGCAAAATCATGCTACGCCTCAAGTTTTTATGCAACAAAAGTTAGCTCCCCCAACTGGTCAAAATCTAAACATTTTTTGAGTAAATGACACAGGATCTCATTTTCTGAGTAAATGATACAGGATCTTAGAGGCCTCGGATCATCATTCCTTTACCGTGGCGTATCAAACTTACGAGGGTTATCCAGAAAGTAGCAGACGTTTTGAAATAAAAAATTTTAAACTTGTAAAGCAAATCTCTTATTATGTACATTTAGGAGCTACACTATTGGGCTATTTATCAACACAAACGCCATTCAAATTGAGGCACTTATCATAGCGTGGTACAAGTGTTTTGATTCCCACTTTTATAAATCCGCCGCCTGAGATTTTAACCTGCACTGGTAACGCTGACATGGATGGACAGTGATGCCGAACTTCACGCCGGCGATAACCAGTGGTTAAAGTCTCAGGCGGCGGATGTATACAAAGTTGAAATCAAAATACTTGTACCACGCTATGAACGCCTCATTGAGTGGTGACTATGTTGAAAAATAGCTTCCAAATGTATATTATAATAAAAGTTGTTTCGTACACTTTCTTAATTTTTTATTTCAAAACGTCTGCTACTTTCTGGATAACCCTCGTACTTTTTTGATTGAAGGATAGAAACCACTTATTTTTTATGTACCATAATCATGTACCCTACAACTTCGCCGCTATATCCACTTTTCGTTAAAAATTTACCGTTAAATCTAATAGCAGACAATATGATCCTTGAATATCGTATGATTGCTGAGGAAGGAATAAAAGAAAACAGCCATAGTGTATGACTCTTGTGGTTGTAGTTCCCAAACATTTTGCACCCTCGCAACGCAACACTAAAAAGAGATTTTTGCGGATTTTAGCATGTGAAAATATCACAAAACAAATGTAATTCTTTATCGGTTAACGAAGAGGGTTACTTATTTTTTTGATAACGATTTATATTGGAAAGATTTTTAACTTGATGAAAGTAGAGAAATTATGAAAACTGCAGAGAGTGGGTAAAACCCTTGGACTTAATAAGTATTTAAAACAACAAATAGAAAATACGCCCAACGAGAGTACGTATATAAAACGCAAAATACTTCAGAAAAAAATATTTATTTAAAATACAAAATAGCTCAGAGAAGAGGAAATAAAACACATAATAAATACAAAAAAAAGTCTTTATTAGGTACTGCTGGAATTATCCTTGTGGGCCGAGATCTGACGATGACCACGCGTTAATGAAAACTGGAAGAAGGAAGTAAAAGATAATAGTACCACCATCAATACTTCATAACAGTGCAAATAATAAATAGACATACACATAATTGCTAATATCTCAACCGGACAGCCTGTCCATAACGAATATATAATAATAATACAATAAAATGTCATTAATGGGAAAAGATATAATCGTGTTCAGCGGTTTGGAATTTTTCTAAATAAAATCAGTAAATGAATAATGACTTCGTCACATTTTGGACACACAAAACAGCAGTGGTTAACAAAAAGGCATCAAGTGCACTTCTTGGACAACCTATCCAACCAATGCGTTGTTCTCAACGAAATCGGGGAGTAATAAGATTTTGACTCTTGTTTCAGGTACAGAGGCAAGCGATAGTGTTTATCTTATTCCGTATTTCAGATTCTACAGCTTTTTTTTTCACAACAGTTCTCCGTTATCTGCATTCGCAACTTTTATAATCCTGTCATCAACAGGTTCTGGAAATTCCAAATTTTCTAAATTGTGAAGCACATATTTTGGAATTACATACAGTCAAGCTAACTGGAAAATGTCGTTTTCTGACCATGCGTTTTCGTTCCAAAATGTTTTGTGTCTAATGGAACTTTAGTGTAGGAGATTTTTAGACTTAGTTATTTTTAACAATATGGTCTTGTAATTTTTTTTTGGAATTTGATTAAAAAGTCCTTTTTGGTTGTTTGGAAAAACTTTCCCAGTAGTAAACATACGACTCTTGAGAGGGAATGGTCCAAATGGTGTTTTCAATATACGGAATAATCATTTCCTAGAGAATGCGAGCCAGCCTTGAACCACGTGCTGGATTTTGTTAATGAATCGACAAATAAAGTGACGTCATTAAAGATGTTAAAGGTCGAGTTACTGCAAAAGAAGAAGAGCTGAGGTCCCTCAACCATTGAGGGCGTGAGCTTTTGGCTTTGTTTTCAAATGTAACAAAAGATCAAGGTCGGTTTGTTCTGGATTTGAGGTAAAAATTCTTTGTTTGAAAAACTTACCAAACAACTCCAAAAGCACCATAGCCGATGGGTCGATCTGGTTGTACTTGTTCCTGGGTATGGGCCGGCGCGGCGGCATGTTGGGGATGGTAGTAAGGCTGGGCGGCGTGGAGGCCACCCTGTTGTCCTCCGGCGGTGGGGCCTGCAGCTCCCTGCATGAGGCTCATCGACACAGACATGGACACTCTCGAGTGGCGGCTCGGGCCGACCACAGCCATCAAATATTGCACCAGTTCGCTTGATTAATTACCAATTTCCACCGTAAAACTTGCACTCATTTGTTTATTTCCAAAGTTCATTAGCACTGCAGTTGACGCACAGAGTATTTATACTAATCGATGGATTATTATCACAACGTGTTTTTCGTGAGCTGGATACGTTTTTAAATTAAAAAACTGCACGGCTTTTCACACTCATACATCAAACACGAACTAACCTCAAATTTAATTATGATGGAATTAAAGCAAACATTTACATCCAATTCTTTATTACACACAAATTATTCACGGTAATATTAAACTGTTTAACAATAAGATATTTTAATGACACTAACTTTTGTAAAAGGATTCACTACCGAGAGAAATACGTCGACTTTTCGGGAATTAAAATTGCACAGGTTGAAAGTTTGAAGGGGATGATTTGCACTATTATATGAGAGTGTGTTACAAATTAAATTAAGATAGGAAAAAAATTATAAATAAAGGGCAAGGTTGTAAAATTTGTTAAAAGAGTTCGTTACAACCTCCTCCACGACTAAAAACCAACTAAAAACGATCGTGTACGAGTGTGAATTTGCGGCCAGAAAAAGCGCGCGCTTGCGCGTACGCACCCTCGGAACAGCTGACTTCGGCTCAATAACAAAAGAGCATCGCTTGGTGCGTGGAGGCCGTGGAGGGAGAGAACATGAATAACATTTCAAACAATGCGTTCAGGAAGAATTCGTTTTTGGAACATTTTCGGTTATTAAATTGTCGCATTTAGTAAAATTCGTTGTAATGTCATTAAAAAGGTTTCTAATAAAGTATCTAAATACCCGAACTGCGCTTTGTCTTCTCTTTGTCAACGTAGGACAATAGGACAGGATATTATTGTCTTTTATTTTTATACCTGCATAGTCTCAAACTTAGAAAGTTTAAAATGCTAATAACGAAATTTGAAACACTTTTCCTGTTCATAAGTTAAGTAGCAATGGCATAAATTTGCAAATATGCTTCCGCAAGCCCCTATCCATTTTTGGGTGTTAAAACGTCTTTTATTAAGTTACACTAACTTTCAATATTAATAGCAGGATGAAATTCAGTTATTGGAGGCAGCTGCGAATTAATTTTATTGTTATAAAAAGTCGGATGCCCAACCTCTAGTTGGAGACAGTGCCGATTTTAAAAATTCACGGAGCCTTGCGATATGGAGGAGACTCCTCGATGGCGATAGACTTGCATGATGACCCTTTTGCGCATCTTCAATTTTCGAAGAAGAAGCGGGTAACTGTTCTTACAAAACGCCGGTTGCAGGCTTATCACAAGACCGGTCCTTTGACGTTCAAATAAAGAAATCGTCCTGTTCCTGTAGGAAACACGCTTTACCAATTACCAACCCCGGGATGGTGAAGGTAGATATATCTCTCTTATTAAACCACCAAACGGAAATGTTAACTCTAAGGCAATACTTACCCCTCGGACATATTGACGTTCTTGGCTTTTCAATGAGCGATACGTTAGAAACGTATTCAACTGGAGCTTCAAACAAATCTTTGGATACCTCATGGACGACACCACCCTTTAGTGTTCCAGCTACAAGTAAATGTTTCACAAATTCTGCGAAACCGGATTGTCCTGGTTCACTGCTTCTGGATGTTCCTCGGGCTCGTTCTGTACACCACGTATGCAGCGAACCGATTTACATGCACTACCACCGCTTTTCCTCGTGGTAGTTGGGTCGGGTGGTTTTATTCGATCATATATATATGCCGGTTATTCTCTTCACCACTGTAGCTTATCCTTCCCAAGCATGCCTAATGCACCTTGCCCTAAGCATTAAAACTGCGCCCCTTAAATTACCTTAAAATATAAATCAAGATACGAAGAAGCGCACCACCATTTTCAGTAGGGGAATTTTTTGTGCACCATTAGAACCTAATGAAATCGGCTCGCATTCGGAAACACAACTTTTAATCCGGCTTATATTCAATAGCACCTGATCCTTGAACTCGTAGAAGTGACAGGTACTTCCTTATTGACGTATTCATACGTTCTACCATTCCGTCTGACTGTGAAGCATGGTTCTGGTCTTGCAAATGCCCAATAGTTGGCCAGAAGCTTTAAAATATACCGCCGACTTCGCCCCCGGTCAGAGTGTCGTTCCAGGGGTACTTCAGATCTGTTAAAAAGTTCTTTTACCAGAACGTCTGCCATAGCTGTTGTCGCTCCTTGATTTAGTGCTTCATGCCCATTTGCTGATTTACCACTAAGATGTATTTGTTTCCAGAAGCTGCTCTCCGAGTTAGGAGGCTTGCAATATCAATAGCTATTTTTTTTAATTTGCCGCACACGTTTTATTGCCCCATCTTAATAAAGAAGCTTTTTTTAGAAGCAATCTTCCCTTCCCAAGCATTTTAAAGTGGCGGAGAGCTCAAAATGTGCACACAATTCCTATTTAAAATACCGAAGATCCCACTGCCGCATCATTCGTTAGGGGCAAGGGGCTGCATGACTTTTGTGTCTAATGTATTGGTGGAGGCACCCATCGAGCACGTCCCCGGGTGGCGGATGGAAGTGACGATTATAATAATCTGTTCAAATTAATTATAGACAACGAGCGACAAACAGACGGACAGACTGAAAGTCCTAATGACAAAAATTTAATCAGTTAGTCCCTTGACCATTGTCCGCCTACATTGAATAATAATTTCTTATTCAATGCTATTAAGTACTGAAAACAGAATTCGAAAATTCGAAACCGTTCGTGAGTTATAATGTGTAAAGATACGGACGGAGGAACAGAGAGTCCAAAATCATGAACGAGTTCTGGGTCGCTCGTTAATAAGTGGCTCGCAGGAACTAAAACCCAGATATAGCCACCAAGATTATTACTGTGGACCAATTCCTCTCCAAGTCAAGGTGTTAGCGACTTTTCCTTGGACTGCAGTGCCGATAACGGTGCCCGTCGGATATCGAGCGACCTTCGAGAGAGGACAATGGGGGACTTTCTGTGGTAACATAGCGGATCTTCCGGAAGTTCAAAAATTTCGTAAGATCCTTTTGAAAGACCCGGGACAAAAAATGGCTTCCATGCGGAAAATATACTGGATGGGGCAGTGAAACGGGCGATTTTAAAACAACTGTTAAAAATTAAAGAACGCTCTATAAGAAAAGTTATTTATGTCATTTAAAATAGTTATATTTTCAGTTCAGTTAGTGGTCCGCCGCGTTAAGTCGCGATGTGTGACGCTCCTAGTATGACAAGTGTCTCGACGCGACGCTCACCGCACCCACTGTGAACCTTAGATCATATATATGCATGATCTTAGCTGTGAACGGTCCTTTAGACCTCTACACTACTCGGAGACAGCATTAATTGTGTGCAGGTTGGAGCGGAATGTGTGCGGGGAAGGGGGGGTAGCCTTGGGGCTAGGGTTGCCATCTCAAAACTGCCAACTAGGACAGGAAGCGTGAAAACCCCGGATTTAGGGATTATAAACCCGGACATATCAACTGAATTTGATAAAAAAATATTGTCTAAAGAAATAGTCTTTGAAATTGTACTTTATTTTTATCACTGACTAGAATGTTTCAATATTCAATAAATTCCTTTCTTTGGTCCACTATGTCACTAGTGAACATTTTCTTTCAACGTTGGCATTATGAGACCCCGCTGGACCTAGCCCCCCCCCCCCCCCATTGTGAATCAATTTAAGAATGGTCCTTTATGAGCTATTTAGGACCTTTTCACATCGCAAGCTTAAAATTTTAGAGCTCGCTTTAATCACTAGGAATCGAACATTTCTTATGGGGTGGCTGAGTCTACTTGGACTCAGCCTCCCCACTGACCAGAATTACTTTTTTCAAATTAAATTTGTACCGGAATTACGAGCTATTTAAGAGCTTTAATTTACAAGTAATTTCGATTTTCGAGCGCCATTCCTAAAGGAGCAAATAGATATAATCGATGGGGCGGCCAGTTGGACGTAGCCCCTCCTCTGTTATCGTTTACTTATTTCAAATTAATTTTTATGCATAGTGGGGTCGTTATACGCCAACACCAATATTTTTGTCATTAAAGCACCAGATTTGGTACACTTTCTACTTAGGTGGACCCCAATGGAAATCGCCCGGGAGGCAGCGGGAGACACGCTGCTGTGAGGGAGGGGGAGGGGGTAAACTTTTCTTACGCCGCGCGCGCTGTTGGTCGTCATAACTGCTAAATTATAACTACTAGGGCAAGTGTGGTATCATTTTCGCATAAATAAAAGATGGCCATTCATTTTCTGAAACAAAAACATCCTTACGGACAAAAAATCGAATTACGGTAAAAAATCTAGAATTTTATTTACAAAAAAATGACCATAAACTTTGAACTAGCGCCGATATCGCCTACAAAAAAAATATAATTAAAAAGCCACTACGTATTCTAAAAATATAAGCCTCCTTGAAACAGTTTAATAAATAATGCATTGAAAAAATATTATACACAGCGCGGCAGAAAAAGAAAATGCCGTGATTAGGTTAAATTATTAATTATAGTAGTTGAGATTTACTTGGGGGGGGCTAGGTCCAGCGGGGTCATTATGAGCAGCAATGCAAAAAAAGCACTAGGCAATTTTCAATAACTCCAAGTATACATGAGGATTCGGTGTTTTAAAAAATTGTAACCAAAGCCGATTGGCGCTTAAAAGTTTTGTTGGCTTACATTTTGACAGAAACTCATAGATGCCTCAGTAGCTTAAAACCCGGATTACCAATGAAACACCGCCCGGACGCCCCCTAAACTAGGACAAATCCGAGGAAACCCGGACGGATGGCAACCCTACTTGGGGCCCATTTCTAGATATTGAAGGTGAATTTGCACTATATTTGTTATTATATGACTATAAAAATTAATAAATCACAGGTACCTGCCAGGCAAAAAAGAATGATGAAAACCTCCTATTTGCTTGAAACAGAAGCGAAACAGTTTCAAAAACCATCCTTCATTTTTTATTAATATTGCACATCGAAACATTAATGTTAACAAACATTAACACACCAATCAATTTACCAACAGTAAATTTACACTATAAACATACAAAAATTGATATGATACATTATAAACATTCAATTCCAGTTAACAACATCGAAGCAATTAGGATAACTCGAATCCTGTGTTACAGCTAATGGCATATCTTAATTTTTCACGCAGCGTGCTCTTTTTCTGATAGTTGGGTAGTTTGAGAAGATTAAAGCATGTGGACGACGTCGGCAGTCGGTTCTGTGGATCGCGTTTCCGTATCGTGAAAAATCCTCTGATTACACTTCCTACCGTGTTTAGTATTAGGAAACGCTCTTTACAGCGGCAACATTTTACCTATCGTATCACCGTTGTCTTCGTCATCTCCAACTTCGACGCAACGTATCGAAAACGGAGGTTCTAAGTGGGCAAATCCCAGAAGAGGGGGTTTGGAACAACTGGTAACAAACTACAACGAAATATTAACCATTCGAATTAGAGGCAGTGGGGATACCTTTAAGAACATTCCCTTTTCTGATTCTGTGAAATCCTTATCCAGTACGTCCCATAGCCAACCGACAACACGGTGCGAATCGTGAAAGCCACCATAATATTGTGTATGTTTACGTAAGTCTTTCATATCCAAAGGCACATTGTCACCCGAAATTAGTCTTTGCAGCTAATGAAATTAGTTACAACTATAACTACATGTGCAATGGTAATAGCAAATGACATTACAAGGTAATTTGAACGTTTGAGTTTGTCTAACATTTACTAAAGATATGGAAGTGGATACATAATTCTCAAATGAAATACTTTACCTCGGGTGTTGAAAATAATGATAACCAATCCAAGCTAATGATGGACCGAAATCCACGAATAAATGCGGCAGTTTGGTCTTTAATTTGGACATGCATTCGAAAATGGGCCATTAAATGAATATAATTAATTCTAGAAATTAATCACATAGAATTTTAAAAGTTTCGTGCATGCTCCTACTTATTTTCATTCGTAACAGACATAGCTTTCCCTCCCGGAATTAATTCGTGCGTGACAAGCCTTCCCAAGCAATCCTCGTCCACACTAAATGTAAGGTCCAGTTCAGACACATCACCCTTGTAATGCTTCACATAACTCAAACTACGATACAGCTCCTCGTCGAGTGAAGGCAATTCGTCAACACAGCTATACAAAGCCTGAGTCGTCTGTCCCAGCACTTGACTTAAAAAAAAGGAGGCGAAAGGTACGTCCACCACAATTCCCTCGTAAACCGCTTTTCCGAGCATGCGCCCGACAAATTCAAAAAGTTGCAAGTGATTGTCTTGCAGGTAGGAGGTCGGCGATGGGTACAACCGTTCTTCGCTGGTGACTTTAAATAAATTCAAGGAGGGATCAAATATCTTCTTAATACTTTCTTCTAAAAATTCTTTAAAAACGCCATCTTGATCAATTCCCGCCTCGTCGAGACCTTGCTCGTTAATAAACCTTACCCGGATTACACCTTTCAAGCCTTGTGGCGGTAATAATGCCAACTGCCGATAGCCATCTTCCACTATTCTAGATCTGCGAAAAATTCCAAAAGTGAAAAACTCTTATTATCTATGACTCACCTGTGCACAGTAATGAGTGTGGACTGAGGAGATGCGCACGCAGACTCAGTCAAGCCCAAAACTGTCTTTTCATTTGTTATGTACTTTCGGAATAGCCGAACTCTGTCTTCGTGCGGTATGATATGCGGCATCGTCTGCAGTAGTAATTGCGGTTTTTTCCTGCCCTTATCCAAGTCGGCCATAAAAGTCGAAACTTTGACTTCCTTAATTAGCCAGTGGCCTTGCGGTGTGTAATTCCGTCTACAATCTCTCTTGTACAGTACCATAAGCAACGTGTGAAATGACTGAAACAACGAATTCGATTGCACCGTCTTCAAATCTGTAAACTGGATATAAACCAACCGCTCCTCAAAACGCCGGTCATTACCGAATAAATTCCCTAGAACTCCGTTGTAGAGGAACAAGTTTAAAAAGCTAGATACCGTCACAAAATCGCCAAGCTTAAATGGGTTTTGCTGCTCGTACATTTCCATGTCGTCCAAAATTCTAAAACGAAATGTCACGTACAGCAATGTATAATGGGACTTACGTGATGTAGTGCGTCATACATTCTGCAAACAATTGTAGCATTTGAAATTCGGGGGCAGTGCATTTTGTATTGATAGCTAAGTGATCTAAAAATATCTTTAGTCCGCAATTTGGTCCTAGTGAGCATAAGAATAACCATAAGTCGTACAAGATTCTATCTTGATAACATAAACCTAAAAGAAGATTTGTGAGAGTTTAGTAATAATAGATAACGTTGTTTAGTTTGTGCAGGAAAACATTTTCCCCCTTCAGTTTAGCTTTTCAATAATCTCTTAAGATTTTGTACCTATAATTTTCATGATTTTGTGGTGTGATGCGTATCAGCTACCATAAGGACCAAGTTAAAAAGTGGTGGATGTACAGATTGCAATAGCTAAATCTGCCCGAGTCGGCAGGCAACACACAGCTTCGGCCTGGCCGAGGTGTTGGGGTAGGTAGACCTCATGAGCCGTTGGAAGGTCGATAGTATAATTTTCAGTCTTTTTGGTGGCAATGAGAATTTCTTTTATTTTTCTGTGTCTGCTCAAATAACAACAACAAAATAAAAACTAAATCTGCAAATTTCGTTTTTTTTGGTATATCTTCGCAAGTAATCGGATTTTTTTGGATTTAGTAACAGCATGATAATAACTGTTTAATTGCGCAACTTTTCCCTAGTTTTAGTATTTCCTATGGTTTCAGAGATGCCATCCTCTTGAGACTGTGTATAATGTTTTGTTTTTATTTAGTTGACTTACTAAAATTACTTCATTTGTAAATTCCATTGTTCTCTTTAGCTACAAACTCAGGTCGTTTTCAAGTTGAGCTGAACATATTTTTTTCAAGGTGAGTTTTGATTCGAGCTGAACAAGCCGAGCTGAGTTTTCAAAAAGCTCAACTCGGCTCAAATCCATCCCTAGTGTGAAAGTGAGTAACTGGTGTCTTTCACTTGGTCTTAAAGAGCAATCTCAATGGGGATGAAAAAGAGCACTATAAATCGCCTACTTTCCTACACAATCCAGCTTGGTCACATATGAATATACAGGGTGCCATTTGAAAACGAAACAGCCTATTTTGGGGACCTCAAAACATTTATGAAAAAATCCTCGGACCCGTCAATTTTTGATTCAAGGGGGAACCATTTTTTTGCTAGCTTCGCCCCCCTGATGCCAAAGCCATAGCGGGGGTGGCAAGCGCCCCCAAAATTTTAAATCGAATGGGGGGTCGAGTGATACCTTATTTGGAAGGTATTTTTATGTGGATTATAACCCTTAAGTTTTGAATCAAGTAAATGTTGAAAATGTTGGCCTTCGACTTCCATAGAATAATACAGGTTTTGTTCAAACATTTCCCGTACATTTTGAAAACTTCTGGGGTGATTTGACGACATTCGTCAATTATTTTTCGTCGCAAGTTGTCTAACGATGTTGGCTCACTAGCATAAATTTTAGTTTTTAAATGGCCCCATAAGAAAAATCTAACGCACTTAAATCCGGAGAACGAGAAGGCCATTCAAAATAGCACCTTTTCTTCCAATCCATTGTCCTGGAAACGTTTGGTCCAAATATTGACGAACCCTTGCAGCATAGTGGGGTGGCACACCATCTTGCTGAAATACTAGACTATTTCCAAGTAGTCGTTGTTATTTTCTAGTATCTCCACTAATGCTGGACGAATCGTCTTTTGAAATAACTCCAGGTACATCTCTCCTGTTAAGTTCCAGGTAAAAAGAAGGGGCCTACGATACGGTTACCAAAAATGGCAGCCTAAACATACAATGGACCTGTTGATTCTGGTGTTGTCGATTAAAGAGCTGGGCAGTTCTATTAGCATTTTCATTGTTTGCAAAAAAAGATAAATTATTTCAGCAAGTGAATAAACCATTATTTATTTATTTATTTATTTATTTATTATCCCTCTCTCGTTCTGACAACAATAATTGACAATCACTATTAAACTTCAAAATGATGCTATAGTAATGCTCTCAACAATAACCAAAATTTGCGTTGCAGAAAAGGCATATGTACTTACGAGTATTAAAAAGAAAAAAAAAACAACAAAAAGTACGGCTCAGAATGTAAGAGAACAACATTTTTTGTATTTACTGTTGTTTTTATTTTTGTTATTTAACTAATTCATTTACAAGAATATTTTTTCATAAGAAAATGTTGACACATTTTTGCAACTTTTATTAGCCCCTGTATGGGCTAGGCAAATTAGTAGCGATTTAAAACTTAAGGGTTATAATCCACATAAAAATACCTTCAAAATCAGATATCACTCGACCACCCATTCGATTTAAAATTTTGGGGGCGCTTGTCACCCCCGCTAGGGCTTTGCCCTCAGGGGGGCGAAACTAGCGAAAAAATTGTTCCCCCTTGAATAAAAAATTGACGGGTCCGAGTATTTTTTCGTAGATGTTTTGAGGTCCCCAAAATAGGCTCTGTTTCGTTTTCAAACGGCCACCCGTGTATAAATAAATAATACAGGCCCCAAAATAAAGAACAAGATTGATGTTGAGTAAAATCCTTGCTGTATTGTTAGATTTGTCAGATTTTCAAACAAACTGTCTCTCTTGGAGTAAGACACTGGGGCAGGCGCAATAGATGCAAGGGTCAAAGTGTGTAGGCGTGAATTGAGTACTCAGGGACATCTTCTCTTCTAAGTACAAGTGGCACATTTCAATAGAGCTATATTTTTAGACAGCATTCCTGCATACTATCAATCACACGTAAATTTTTAATATTTTATACGAAGTATAACAAACAAATTAAAATCCCCAAGACTAACACACAAGCCAGTAGTACTGCCCTTACCTGTTAATATATCTAACCTTAGTTGAGTCAAAGTATTTAGCGCAGTGTAATATAGCGAACACAACAGAACAATCTTATGCACTTCTGGACTACCCAGTGCCCTATATGATTTCTGTACATTCGCCCGATTCACACGAGCCTCAATGGCTCGCTTAAAAAAATTCGGATTCGTACGATTCTGTGAAGATGTAGCAGCTTGAGGCGATTCGACGTCTTTTACTAATTCCGCCAATGACTTCCCTAAAAACTACTGTGTAAACGAGCAGATGCTCGTTTTTAATCTTTACCGATTAAAATTGAAACGATCTGCGTATTCCACAAGAGATGCAGCTGTGTTTTGACGTGAGGCATGGCGGCGTGCAATTCGGGATCCATCGACTGAGCGAACCAGCCTAAAACTGGATGCCAGTGTGTTAAATTGGACTGCTTTGTGACGACGTAGTGTTGACAGCTTTCCAGTAGACCTGTGATCACGACCTGCAACGCTATGCAATCGGAAACAGTATCATAATCATTAGTAGCGACTGGATTTCTATGCACTAATTTAACAGTGTACAGACTAAATAGCTGGGAAAATTTCCTGAAATTAAATAATTTTCACTACATTGGGACTAAAAATCACAAATATAATTTGTTTCAAGATAAGCATGTGTTATCGTCGAGCAGATGTTCGTTTTGACGACGCGTAATTAAATTAAGGAAGGGGGAAGGAAAGTGGAAAAAGGTTTTAAATAAGCGAACCGGACGTTAATCGTGGCTTTTTGGTGGTAGACGTTGAAACGTAGCCGTTTGCTTTGATTGTAAAGTTGTGTAGAAGAAAGGTAGAGTGTTTAAAGAATGTGTTTTCACGTTTACGAAAAAGATAAGTTGAAGTGCTGAAGTTATCGAGTGTTAGTCGCTGAATAAACGCCTTTCTTAAAGGTCTTCAAGTTATCAGTTAAAGGGCCTATACTATAATTGTAAATACAACGAAGTCAAACAGGTGCTTATGTGGGACCGTTTCGTTTGGCATTGCACATAGCATTATTATTTGGCGCCCAACGTGGGGCATGTAGCAATATTATGCACTCCCGCAAAATTTACTGTGGGAAGCGAGAAAGCACACAATTGCACAGAAATCCAGTCCCGAGTCATTATAGTGAATTGCTTACCGTAAAACATGGAAAGGCCACTTCTTTTAAAACAGTTTCTCGCTCAATATATGCCAGGTGAATGAGGTTGGCAAGTAGACATAAAGCGTAGTTGCCCTCCAGTGTATTAAAAACGATTCGCATCGATTGTTGACTAGCTAACAGCTCTAAGCTCTTATTAAAAATACTGTAATTAACTAAAACGGTTATGCACTAAAAAACAACACGAGAATCACACATGAAACTTTCGCAAAATACCAAAAACCTCGGGTGTAATCGTCTCAAGGTGTTGCACCAATGCAGGCACTGACAGTATGTGAATCAAAAACATACTCATGAACTTATCCGAGAATTCGGCGGCAACCAAAGGGCGCAGCGACAAAGTTAAAATTGCTGAAAGAGACGCATGCTTAAATGCGACTTTAAGCCGCCCAAGACCCCTTACAAGTAAATTCTGAAAAACATACCTTAATAACTCGCATTGCATCTGCAGATCATTATAGAAAATTGAGAAAATAGAACTTTTTTTAAATCTATTGAGGTAGATCTATTAAAAAATTCCCCAATTTTCGATGACATGCTAACTAACTAATAATATGGCAATTACCTTAAGAACCAAATAGAATCCTTTATGGAATAACTTCCCCATTATATTGGCACATAATTGGTTCATACCTAACTTTAAAACTTCGACGTTTTTCGCTTTTAAAACAACCCACGTGTTTGTATTGGTAAACGAAACTAACATATGTAAATATAATAATACAGTTTTCATATCACTAGCGTACTCAGGCTTTAATTCCTCTAAATAATCACAGCATTTCCAAAGTACGTCATTTGTATAGGAGATCCATTGCATCACATGGTCTTTACTTAGAGCCACGCCGACGTAACTTACTTTCGGCGAGTCCGATTCCAAAGAGGCGATTAGGTAACTGCACAATTTGTCGAATCGATCCCTATCACGTTCCTTGTTGAAAACCAGAAGCAGCAGTTTCACCTGGGTGAAAATTTGAGTGGCAGATATCAGCGCTGATTTCGCATCATTTTCGGGGACTTGAGGTACGATTGCGTCAAAATTTTTTCTGTAATTATACACTTAGCAACAAATTGTGTAAGTATTGATAGTGTTTTCTTACAAAATGTTACGAACAAAGCTTGTACGCGTAAGATATCCTCTTACATTTGATTGAATTATTATCGCAGCGACCTCCTTTCGCTTCTCTAATGCGCGTTCTTCTCGTGCCGCTTTTGTCTGCTCCAGAAAGCTCGATTTTGTGTCTTCTGCCTTGTTGAACATACTCAGTTGGTGGTTGAATATACCTTATTTTAGTACTATTAAGGATCATTGGCTAATATTTGGTTTTCGAGGATATATTTATTAATTTTAATCGGATTAAACGCAAGTAGGCTCTATCACAGAATTTTTGAAGATTTATTAAACTTTAATTAATTTGTTGAGAGAATTGGTTAAAAGATGGATGGAATTGTCATTTTTGACAAAAATGTAAACAAGTACCAGCTGATCAGTCACAATCCGGTGCAACCCTACATAGGGTGTTTTGAAATTACAGGCATATATTTTATACCAGAGGTCGAGCCGAATTATACGCAAAAACGGCAAAGTACGATACTACAATTTTTTTTATAACATTCTTCGTTTCTCACAGAAGTGAAGCAATGGCGAATAATTCATAAATGCTATCAATTACCAATTACAAATCAGTAATTGAACCGCAAAATGTAATCATCCTGTACAACCACGTGCTCTTGTTTGCATGTCATAACCTCAAATTATATTTTGAAACATAACCTCTCTTTATAACTTTTGAAGAATTTTCTATTTCGTAATGGATTTAACAAAATCCTTACCTCAGAAAAAGTATTACCGACAAAGAGCTCATTCAAATCCCATAGCCGATCATTGCTTTGATTAGTAAGTACAATGTGTCCGACACAAAAACATGAAACACCACTTGCAGTCCACGAACTCCAGACGATATGGATTGGTTCAAGTATTATCCAAAGAAGGTGGACAACTCGGAGGTGGAGTTCGCCGATATCGGCTGCGGTTATGGCGGTTTACTGGTAACACTCTCCCCCATGTTTCCGACTACGTTAATGCTAGGAATGGAGATTCGAGTGAAGGTGTCCGATTACGTTATGGATAGAATCGCAGCGTTGCGTGATCAACATCCGGGAGAGTATCAGAATATTGCGTGTTTGCGAACAAATGCCATGAAATATTTACCGAACTATTTTAAAAAAGGCCAGGTGAATTTTTCCGTTTTAAAACTGTGGGATGATCTGTATCATTTTAGTTAAGGAAAATATTTTTTCTGTATCCGGATCCTCACTTCAAAAAGGCTAAGCACAAATGGAGGATAATTAATACTTGTCTGTTGGCGGAGTATGCCTACGTGTTGGCAGTTGGAGGAATTGTGTATACGGTTACCGATGTGAAGGACTTGCACGATTGGATAGTGAAACACTTTACTGAACATCCATTGTTTAACAGAAAACCCCAGGAAGAATTGGTAAGTTGCAATTGGACTTCTCAGTAATTAATATCGTGCAATTTTTACAGAGGTCAGATCCAATTGTGGACAAATTATACAGCAGTAGTGAAGAGGGACAAAAGGTAACTAGAAATAATGGCGACAAATATCTGGCGGTCTTTCAAAGAATTGCAGATCCGTTCAATTCAAATGTTATTGTATAACTAATACTATGATCTTGTGTTGGAAAATGTTCATTTATCTGGAAAAAATTCAGATATTTATTCCTGAAAATCCTAATGTATTGTAGTAAATGTAATATATTTAAATATAGACATAAACTGTATTGTTGGGTGTAATTAATGTAATCAGTATGTCCATGCCTCTTAAAATCATGAATTCCAAATTTCATACTGTTTTGCTAAATGAAGACATTCCATTTAGTGTCAAACAACTTAAGTTATCTTCAAATATTCATTCCACTTTCTTCATTCGTGTACCATATTTTATACTCACACTGGGAGATGATCACATATGTTCTCAAGGGGCACTGGATGGATTATCACCTGCACAGAGGGGCAGTATTCGATTTTGTAAATACTTTTTAGTATTCAAATCCTACTTCGCAAAGTATTTGGATACTTCGTAAAGTATTCGAATACTTCCAAAGGTATTTGAATACTTTGAGAAGTATTCGAATACTTCGCATAGTATTTGAATACTTAACTTCCCAATCAAAAGTTATAGACTAGAAACCAATTTCGAAAGAAAATTCAAAGGGCTGTAACTTTTGAAATAGTAGCCCCATCTTGGAACTATTTGAATTATGGATTCTACAGGCCACATTCTATAAGAAAATTTTTTTTCCGGGTCGATCTGTGACAATTTTTTTTTCGGACCTCAAAAAAAGGCATATAATAACCTTCCTTTTTTTACCAAAAATCGACTGCACCAAAATTTCTCAGGAAAACACTTTTTCTTATTAATTTTGGTGCGTAGAATCCAAAACAATTCGTACTTTTTCGATCAGACTTCTCAATCAAAAGTTATAGACTAGAAACCAATTTCGAAAGAAAATTCAAAGGGCTGTAACTTTTGAACTATTAGCCCAATCTTGGAACTGTTTGAAATTATGGATTCTACAGGCCACATTCTATAAGAAAATTTTTTTCCGGGTCGATCTGAGACAATTTTTTTTTCGGGCCTCAAAAAAAAGGCAGTGTATAACCTTCCTTTTTTACCAAAAATCGACTACACCAAAATTTCTCGGGAAAACACTTTTTCTTATTAATTTGGTGCGTAGAATCCAAAACAATTCGTACTTTTTCGATCAGACTTCTCAATCAAAGGTTATAGACTAGAAACCAATTTCGAAAAAAAATTCAAAGGGCTGTAACTTTTGAACTAGTAGCCCAATCTTGGAACTGTTTGAAATTATGGATTCTACAGACCACATTCTATAAGAAAATTTTTTTCCGGGTCGATCTGAGACAATTTTTTTTTCGGGGCTCAAAAAAAGGCAGTGTATAACCTTCCTTTTTTACCAAAAATCGACTGCACCAAAATTTCTCGGGAAAACACTTTTTCTTATTAATTTTGGTGCGTAGAATCCAAAACAATTCGTGCTTTTTCGATTAGACCTCTCAATATAAAGTTATGTACAAAAAACAAATTTCGAAAAAAAATTCAAAGGGCTGTAACTTCTAGTAGCCCAATCTTCAAATTGTTTGAAATTATGGATTCTACGGGCCAAATTCTATAAGAAAATGTTTTTTCCCGGTCGATATCAGACATTTTTTTTTCCGGCCTCAAAAAAAGGCAGTACTTTTAAGTTATTCAAATATTTGAGAACAATTTAGAAATGTTTAGGGAAAGTTTCCATTGTCACAAAATCAAATATAAAAATCCGATACAAATGTATACCGAACGATCCTGGAGTGAAACTTTTTGATTCGATAGTCTACGTAACTTAAAAACAATAGGGACCTTTCTTATATCCTTAAGACCATGATGTGTACCAATTTTCAAAGCGATGGCACGTTTCTAAACAAACTATCATGCACACGGACCAACGGATGGTCAAAAATGGATCTGTTCCAAAATCGCTAGGATTAATTTCAGAAAGGCGTATGTATCATGTGCACGACGTACGATCGCTTTGAAAACTGGTACACGTATTCTTAAGGATATAACTGGTATAAGAAAGGTCCTGGTAGGTACCTCCTATATAATAATAATATTACGCTTTTACTCCCCTTAAATTTGTATATAACAATAGAAATATAAAAAAAGCTAACCCCCAATCAAAGTATAACATGATTTTTTAAGTAGTATTAAGACTTTTATCTAGTATACTATTTTAAATTTTTAATGTATTTGAGTGAGAAGTATTCGAATACTTTTGAAAGTATTCGAATACATTCTAAAGTATTTGAATACTTATTTTTTAAAGTATTTGAATACTTTTCAATGTATCTGTATCTAGTATCCGCTTGTGCTGGACGTAAAAGTATTTAGTATTCAAATACCTTTGATTTGTGTAAAGTATTTACTATTTAGTATTCAAATACTTTTTGAAAGTATTCTGCCCTGCTCTGCACCCGCACAACATTAGGTTTGTAGGAGTGTTAGATTAGCACTAAATTGTTTAATTAACAAGGCCTAGGTATTCAAAAAACCTTGAGACTCTTTTTACCACAATTGAAAAACTTCAATTATTCATATCTTACACAATGCGTACGTTTTGCCTAGAAAAATTAATTTTTAATACCTTCTATAATTCTCCATTAAAGAAATATCCAAAGGGAATTTTTTCAACATTTTCTCTGTCCGATTGGCATAGGTAGTAGAAGTAATAAATGTTAGGGCAGAAAAAATTGAGTATTGCAAAAAAATAAGACGTGTAATGTATTCTCTAATACAAATTTTTTAACCTAAATAATTTTCAGTAGTCCACAGGTATGATTTATCACAGTTGAGGACACTTGTGATGCGGTAAAATCGGAAGTTCCCCAGAATCATTTGCATTCAGCTTGAAAGTATTCTAAAAAGACATACGTTAAGTACCTTCTCCTACTTTCCGAGCACTCACCAAGGTTCCCAATAGTTCGATAGTTAAACAAGTCTGCTCGTGTAACTGAAAGATGGTCTTATCCAAAGAGGTGAACGATTTCAAGTTAACGGCCGCTAGTTGATCCAAAAGCACTTGCACGTTCATCACCTTCTCTAATACACCACGCCAGGTGGTGACTAATACTATTATACACCTACAGCAGAATTAAAGTAGCAACATTCAGAGTCAATTATACCATTACCGATTCAATTTTTGGTGATTTTCACTCATATGCGTCACTTGCTCATCAAAAAATTTCGCTGCGCTCAGCGAATCGGTTAATTTATCTTCCACTTCAAATAGCTCATCCTGACAGTTCTTCAGCGATATTTTCAAGTTAAAAATTTCGGAATTATCTTCGCTCGAATCGCCCGCCACGTACGCCTCGATGTCGACGAGCAATTTCCGAATAGACAAATACTTTAATTCCGACCTTTTGAGATGTTTAATAGTCTTCTGCAACTGTTGCTCGACTATTTCTCTCTCTCCGCAAAACGATTCTATTTTCTGCTTACACAAGATATTGTTATCTTGGAATAGTTCCAATTGCATGCTTTGCTCTTCTAAATCGGTGGTAAGTTGTTGTACCATGTCGGATTGTTCTTTCAATTCTGCCATTGTCGTTTGCAAGGTCTCCTCTTGAGTTGAATATCTGATTTCGATTTCGAGAATTTTACTTTGCAAATTTAAATTGTCTTCTGACAATTTGGCGTATTTTTGGTCTAGCGCGTTCAAATCGTTTTGTAGTGCGGACTTATCTTTTCCTAATTTATCAATTGTTCCCTTATATTTGTAATCTAGGTAGTGAAGTTTGTTTTGTAGCTCAACGTTGTTTTTTAATAGTTTATCCTTTGCTATCTTTTCAGATTCTAGTTGTTCAGTTGTCACTCTTAAATTTCCATTTGCTTCGTTCAATTTTGTTTGTATTGCAACGCAATCTTTTTTCAAAAAAATAGTTTCTTGTTCAATTTTTTTCAAAAAAGTAGTTTCTTGTTCAGATAGATTAATTTCATTCTGCAAATGCAGGTGCTGAATATTACCTTTTAACGTCATTATTTCTCGGTTTAACTTCAGACAACATTGGCATATTGTCCGATTTCTTTTGTTTAACCGAATTTCTAATTCTTCTTTCTCAATTAGTGTGGATTCTAGCGCACTGAGCAGCTTATCTTTGTCTTTCTGCAGTTCGTCGCGTTGTGATAGAAACTCACTGCTTTGCAAGGTAACATCATCATATTTACATATAAGCACTTCGCATTTCGCCTGCAATTCAGAAAGCTGTTCTGTACGTTCGTTGGTTAGTGCTTTGTTCTTTCTAAGATTTAGTTTCAATTTAACCAACACACTTTTCAATCTTCGAACCTTTCTCGAATGTACAAGCGGTTGAAATGCTCCAATGTGATTTCTTAAATTGTTGTACTTCATAACAAGATCATTGTTACTTATAACTGTAACAGAAAAAACATTAAACAAAGCATGATCACTGATCAGACTGAAGATCAGATTTAGTTATTGAATAATATATGGTCAATTGCAAACAGTACATTCAAGGAAAACCTTAAGATAAAACAGACATAAACATATAATTTAAATTAAAAGTGATTCTTGTCTTTAGAAACGCCAGGAAAATTTTTTTCAGTGATGAAATCTATGAGCAAACGGCCTCTCCCATAAAATTTGCACGTTATAGCCTTCAAATAAATTTTTAAAAATGGGCTGGTGTGAATAATAGACTCAAAACTCAGTGGACGAGCGTTTTGGTCTAAAATAGCCGCAACAATACCTAATGAAATGTTGAGTAAGTAAATACTCAATGACTACACAAACTTTGTTTAGTTTAAATAAAAACCGGGACAGCGCGTACGCAGTCCCGACTACCAAAAATTACGCGCCCGAGTTATCCACATTAGGGATAATCGCAGGAGTCAGCCCGATCGTAGTGCAATGAGGGGGCCTCATCCTGGGGGAACCGCCTTATTGATCACGGTAACCCCTACGCCAGGTAAGTATGCTCTATCGGCATCTTGCTCAATGTCATATTCAATAGGCAACGGAATATCAAGTGTCTAAATTGTTAGTGGCGCCAGTATCCGTTAAATCCCTTAACCATTTTAAAGTGTGATCTATCGGTTGTCTGATGCTATCTTTGATAATCAATCGTAAATTACAGTCTTCTTTTGTTTATTATGAATAAGCAAAGAGTCTAAAACAGAGTTGAATTTTGAGAACAATTAGGAACTCATCCAATCGTAAAAATAGAATGAATTTCTACACGATCGATTATTACATTGAAATCTACACAAACAAAAGACTTTAGAAAGATCTTTGCGCAGATGTTTACGTTCAGAGACCTATTGCTAGATGTCATACTGTTATTGTAATTTGTGAGCTTCTCAGGATCTGCTATAATTAGTGGAGTTCTATAACAAAAAAAATATGTTATGACATAGGGAGTTTTGGAAAACGCAGAAAATGGGTGTTGGCAAAACAAAAACCCAATTTTCTATCAACAGTATCCTGTCCCTAAATAAAAAACCGTTGCACATAAAGGTGCTACAGAAAAATTCGCGCGCACTGTAATGTAAGGGTGGATAATTTGATTTAACGAGTGGTGGCGCCACTAGTAATCGGGCAACTTGAGTTCTGCCAAATGTTAAAACCATATTAACGAAAATACATACAAAACTACCCATTGCCTTTGAAATGACCAAAAAACTACCTTATCGATGACCTCAACATTAACTTTACCCAACTGTCCTTACGTAAACCCCAAATCCACACTCCTAAACCTCCATTATCAGTAATGTCGACATTACAGAATCCGAAGTCCTGCAATCCATACCTCTCCCCACAATTACCCGCAGCTTGCGTATCGTTTCCCGTGCAATCAACCTTCCCACCACCCTTGTCCTCATCATTACCACCAGTAAATCCACCCTAGAGCATCTCCTCGCGAATATGGTGTCTGTAGGTTTCCCCGACACTATCCATACGACCCTAAAGTAGTGCTCCATGTGTGCCAAAATCGGCCACATCTCCTCAGATTGCGCATACCCGCATCCAAATCTGTCCCTTCTGTGGTGAAAACCACAAACCCAGCCCCTTACTTTAGAAGTATTAATGATCTTTTCAGAACTTTAAAAAGTTCACCTTTGACGCAATGAGTGAAGTTGGCCCCCCCCCGTATTTTAAAAAATGAAAAATTCAAGACAGATTTTCTACTTTTTTTGTTTTGTTTTATTTTTAAAGCTCAAATAAACTTTATTATTATTATTATTACTGTGGCATTAAGAGTTTTTGCTAGAATGTACGTATCAACAACTCTACAACTCTAATTACAATTGTAAAGTTTTATAAACGAGTGACTTCACAATGTATATAGTGTGATCACTTACCCGCCTCATCACGTTCCTTCACTAAAGCAGCGTTTTCTCTTTGCAATTGTTGAAGCTCTTCATTGACTGCCACTGTTTCTTGCATCTGGAGCAATTCACTGGTAAGTTTTTCATTTATACCATTCAAAGTCTCAATGCTACGTGTTAAATTATCAATGTGTGACTTCAGCTCTCCCTTCTCTTTTGTAAGGTGGTTAATGTCAGTCTTCAAAGTATCAATTTTAGCATCATCGTCCTTCCTCTCTTGTTCTAGTACATCGATTCGATCATTTTGACGAGCAATCATATTTATCATAACTTTAAGTTGCACATCCTTTCTCGTTAAATTTTTCAAAATGCTTTCCTGATCCAAGTCTTTAATAGCTTCGTTAATATCATCATTTTGTACTGTCTGAGAAAATTTCTCCGAGATGAGATCGCGCGCATCTGTCGCCGTGGAGTTGCATATTGTGAGGACACTTCTAGTATTGGGAACATTAAGGTCATTTTCTTGCTCATTGGACAATTTCTTTTGTAGTTCGTCATTTTTCTCCATTAGCTTTACAATGGAAATATAATACACATCGTTCTGCCGTTCTAAGCCTAACATTTTCATTTCTTGTGAACGCTGATTCTGTTCCATTTGTAATATCTGCTGGTGGAGAAAACGAAGATGATTCAGATCTTTAGTTAATTGTGATATAGTAAATTTCTGTTTGTAAATTTGTGTAGTAAGATCGTCTATTGTGATTTTCTGGTGATGGATGATTTTCTGACAATCCGTCAGGGACAAATCTTCATTTACCTATAGGAGAAACTATAAAGTAAAAAATTTTACCTAGGTGGGTTGCTGATATTATAGAAACTCATGAGAGTACCCAGCCTCATTAGTTTCAGATTTCTCTCCAATTGCGAATCAAGTACCAACCATGTTATTGATGAAAAATTGACTTACCTTTGAAGGTCCATTTGTGAAATTCTCAACAGAACACTTCCAACGATCCGCTACCGTTGATAGACTCCCACCCAAAGACGACCGACTGGACGAACCGCCTTCTTCGTCATTAAAACAAGGAAACCCTTTCACTCCAAGTTTGTAAGTTAAAATTTCCATATTAGGACGACGAAGGGCGGGCAAAAGTGATTGTTCTTCATTTTCGGTTTCACCATCCATTAGAAATTTCTCCTTCACTGCAATCAAACGCAATCGTTGCCTTTCGCTCAAATCTAAGTAATGTCTTAAAGTTTGTAAACACTGTTCCATATTAGGTATATCTTGTTGTAATCTACATAGATCGCTTTCGAGTTCTCTCTAAAAAAAAAGGATGAGTATTGGTACCTTGTAATAGCAAAGCTTACTTGGTGCTCATCTTGAGTTTTATTGCACACCTCTCCCTTCTGACCGTCAGTTAATAATTCCTCTAAAAAGAATAAATGTCTCGTAATAAAATTAAAATCAGATACAGTATCGCCATTACGTTTGTCACTGGGATCCTGGACAGACACCTTGGACCTGTAAGCCGAAGTCAGAACTTATTCTTAATAACAATCAGGTGTACCTTTTCTGCAGAGTCACTATCTGCTCCATTAATTTGTTAATTGCATTCTCTGACTTTGACAATTCCGCTGTTACAACTCTTTTCTCCTCCACTATTTGATTCATATGCTGTTGCAGTTCTTCTAGTTGTTTCTGTAACGAGTTACCTATAACGAAAATAATAAATATCATATAGGTATAGTCCGGTCAAAATAAACATTCACCCAAGATGCTGAAAATTTAAGGGAATAGGGATATCATTATAATGAAATTGTGAAAAGTCCCCATCGTTTCTGGAGCAGAGTTGATATCTTCATTAATTTTCAGCTTCTTGGGATTTACGCTTATTTTTCGGGACCATTTGCTCATGATCCAAAAATAAAACTTGCTGGTGCAAATTTGCATTGCTGGACGAGGGGTGGATATCTATCCAAATTATTATTCTAACAAAATATCTCTACAATAGTAATGGCTTCCCATTTCTCCTCGAGAAAGTATACTCACCTTTCCAAGGATCTTATTGTTATTTCTCGTCTTTTATAATTGCAATAATTACTTATTAATACGTAAACAAATCCAATAAATCCAAGAACTTCAAAATGTTATGTTATGTAGCATTTGAATAAACTCACATCTAAATCAGAAGAATTACGATACGGAAGCATCCATAAGACTCCGTCACCCCCCCCCCCCTCAACCCCGTACTTTGATAAGAGGACAGAAAGAAGGGCAGAAGTTGGTAGAAGACGGTTCCTTTCGTTGAGACCTTTAATTAGAATACAATGAGATAAAATTAATTTTTAACCCCCTCCCCCCTCAGGCCTCGTCGCTCACTGATCTCGAAAAAGAGTCATACGGGAAAGTTATAGTATGTACAAACCAATTTCCCTTTCTAAAGTTCTAAAGTTTAACTTGGCACCACTAAAGGCATGCGTATGCAAAATCTGAGACCAATTGGTTGTTGTATGTAAAAGTTATGCACGTTTTACTTTCAAAAACAGCATCTCAGGGAATAATTCGTGGGGCGGGGGGGGCCTTTAGACAGCGAAATTTGATGGCTGTTCCAGGACCCAGGACCATTCCTCTAGTAGTTCGAAACGGCAGAAGTGGGTCTGGACGGACGGACAAAACGCAAACAATAGCACTTTTTTTAATTCTTAAAAAATGGGATTGCGTATGGGCAAGACAAATTTTTTGATTCTGCATTAGTTTGATTAGTTTTACTTTTACTTGAGGTGCCTATATACAAAATTAGATATCTTGACAATAAATAAAAATGAGATTGCGTATGGGCAAGATAAGTTTTTTACATAGGAATTAATTTTACATTTACTCAAGGTGCCTACATACAAAATTTCATTTCCTCACAAATTGAAAAATTAGATTCCGCATGCGCACACCCAATTTTTTTAATGGGCATTAGTTTTACTTTTATTCGAGGAGCCTAAGTACATATAAAATTCCATTCAAATACCTTAACAATTGAAAAATTGGATTGGATGAATCAGCATCAATTTTACTTTGAACTAAGAACATATACCAAACCAAATACAAGTATACCAAATTTCAAAGCGATCGGACATTTCTACACAAAGTTATCGTTCACATGGACAGACCGACAATGGAACAGACGGACAGACCAACAGAAATACAAAATTATAAACGATATCTAGGATCGTTAATAAACGGCAAAAGTGTAAAGTTATGGAACATGTAAAAACTTGTTATTTTGGTTTTGGTTTTTGAGTTTTTGTTTGGGGTAAATGTTTTATAATGTGAATTGGCATTTAAAATTTTTAACAGCCTACTAATTACGAGACTAATTACCTAGAGGCATTGAAGCTCGAAAAACACTGTGAAGTGTTGGATTACAAAAAATAAGTAAATGCCGACATTTGCGATTTGATACAATAAACCTTGGTACAAAATTCAGCCACCTTTGTTTGAAATTTTGAAAATTGAAGAAGTGATTTCTTCTAACACACGATATAACCACATGGGTAAACGGCTCATTTTAGGTATCATGTGTACGTAAAGTTACATTAATTTGACCACGGAATCGAAATATGCAATAATAAGTATGCAGGGAGTTCTATTTTTCAAAAATACAACTTTGATGAAACACCCTGTCTGCATAACAACTGCAATTTCGTTGAAAATATTTCTGCTGTAGCCCAGAGTTCATTAACATGCCCCGACCATAAATTTTAAATATGTGCGACCCACAATCTTCCACCCACCCTGTAACCCTGAAAGTTTCAAAAATTAGGGACTCATTCTCAAGTTCAAAGATCCTAAGTGCCAAAGTGGGTACGTACAGAATTTTTCCCCAGCCCCGAGCCCCCTTAAGAGATGCGCTCTTAATTGCGATAAGAATTCTTCAACTTTTTTTAGAAACAGTTTACCAACAAACCCAAGAAGACGCTATGCCTAGTTCCATCCTACTATGTTTGCTAAGAAAAAGTTAAAGAAATTTGCGATTTCCAAATAAAACATTGAGGGTTGATAAAAATGCAAACTCTTACCTGGGCTAAAGGGTTCCATCTTATTCCTTGGGAGAGATTCCAATCGCTGAAAAAATAAACATGTTTCATTACAATTTGGAATAGGCAGAACAGGCATTAGTAACAATATAAAGAATGCAATTACCTATCTACACTATTAAATTTCTTATTTGACTTTTTGCTGCCTCCGATTTCTTGCACTTGCACCTCTCAAGCCTATCCTGTTGAAACACAGATCTTTTCCAACTGGTACAGATTACGGAGGTAATAAAGAAAAGACATGCATAATATACAAATGAGCACGTTTTGCGCGATAGCACTTTTAAATCTGAGCGTAATCTGAAAGCTCTGAAACAGCAAATGGAATGCAAGTTGCGGAAAGAGTGGGAGGAAAACACTCACCGCATGCGCTATTTTAAAATCGTGGCTAGAATTTTTCCCCTTGGGCCTTGGGTATTTATTAAAAAAACGTAAAATTTCAAAATAAGTTCTTTGCACTTTTAATTTTTGATTAAAATGTCATAGTTTGGCGACCGGTGTTTTTGTTTTTTAGGACACTTATCCGAATGTATACAACTTCATCTCGAAAACCTCACATTGATTACTTATCTATCATAAACAAATCAAAAGATGCAGGTAGTGTTTAAAAGCTTGGGGGTCTTCCATTGGTTCGCATAATCTTATCTGCATTGGTGATATGAAGGTCGCAAGACTATAAAAAACTTATTGTAATTTAATCCTCTCTGTCTCATATTTTTGTAGTTTGCAGTGCTGAAATTGTAACTGTCAGCATATTAAAAACAAAAAAAAACACGAGGAAAATTATATCTCTTTGAGGGGACATTCTCGCAAACTTGACAAATAACACCTAAATAAAGCATTTCCCATATTTTACAATTTATTTTGCCGGAAGTAAATAGTACACATCATCTCGTAATCTACTGTTCGTCTGTCGGTCCGGCCGGTTGATTACAAAGCATTCACAGTTCTCTGACGCCGCGCCAGAAGAAGCTTAAATGACCCCATACAGTGCCGTTAGCCACATGGCGCAATTTTATTAGGGACGCAAATAGTTCCGAATTTTAAACAGGAATTATAGCCATTCACGAATCACAACACGTACAGGAAGCGCATTATTTGCTTATTTCAAACAGCGTGTACCTACACAAATCCTAATCTATATAATCCTTCAGACAACGTGACAATCGTTTACTCTAAACCAAGTTAAGGTAGGTCATAAACCCTTTGAGGTACTTATTATATTCATTTCTTGGAAGTAGGGAACGTCGCGCAACTTTCAGGTAAGTACCTACCTGAAATACCAATGCAACTGGATTGAAATTGCGCTTTCTACACAAACTTATTATATTATATGTGTAGGATTGCAAATTGCATAAAGGAAAAATCGGATACAATTGAATACCGAACGACTGGCTTGCCTAATACAGAGCTGGGCAGTATTCGATTTTGTAAATACTTTTTAGTATTCAAATCCTTTAAAGTATTCAAATACTTTGTAATTAAATACTTTTATGAAAGCAGTATTTGTATTTGTAACTCAAATACTTTCACAAATATTTAGTATTCGAATACTTCGCAAAGTATTTGGATACTTCGTAAAGTATTCGAATACTTCGCAAGGTATTTGAATACTTTGAGAAGTACAAACTGTTTTAAATTATGGATTCTACGGGCCAAATTCTATAAGAAAATGTTTTTTCCCGGTCGATCTCAGACATTTTTTTCTGGGCTCAAAAAAAGGCAGTACTTTTAAGCTATTCAAATATTTGAGAACAATTTAGAAATGTTTAGGGAAAGTTTCCATTGTCACAAAATCAAATATAAAAATCCGATACAACTGAATACCGAACGATTCTGGAGTGAAACTTTTTGACTCGATAGTCCACGTAACTTAAAAACAATAGGGACCTTTCTTATATCCTTAAGACCATTGTGTACCAATTTTCAAAGCGATCGCACGTTTCTAAACAAACTATTATGCACACGGACAAACGGATGGTCAAAAATGGATCTGTTGCAAAATCGCTAGGATTAATTTCAGAAAGGCGTACGTATCATCTGCACGACTTTACGATCGCTTTGAAAACTGGTACACGTATTCTTAAGGATATAACTGGTATAAGAAAGGTCCTCGTCCTGGTAGGTACCTCCTATATAGTAATATAATAATAATACGCTTTTACTCCCCTTAAATTTGTATATAACAATAGAAATATAAAAAAAAGCTAACCCCATACAAAGTATAACTTGATTTTTTAAGTAGTATTAAGCCTTTTATCTAGTATACTATTTTAAATTTTTAATGTATTTGAGTGACAAGTATTTGAATACTTTTTACTGTATTCGAATACTTTTCAAAGTAAAATAATGAAATACTTTTCAAAGTATTCGAATACTTTTGAAAGTATTCGAATACTTTTCAAAGTATTTGAATACTTATTTTTTTGAATACTTATTTTTTAAGTATTTGAATACTTTTCAATGTATCTGTATCTAGTATTCGCTTGTGCTGGACGTAAAAGTATTTAGTATTCAAATACCTTTGATTTGTGTAAAGTATTTACTATTTAGTTTTCAGATACTTTTTGAAAGTATTCTGCCCAGCTCTGTGCCTAAATGCACCATTGGAAGAAATAATAACTGAAGAGGATCCAACAAACCACTAATAATATAAATGTAAGAAAATTATATAAAGAATTAAAATAGGTAAGTAGTGATTTTTTTTATGATTTCGTTTGTTTACTTATAAACATTTTTGCATTTGAATTACGGGTTACGAGAAAATTGATAAAAACTGATAAAAGTAGGTGTACGATTTGGGGGTGGTTTTTCGCAAAATAAGGAATGTTGCAGACAATATTCAGATGGGAACGTTGTTTAATTTCCGTGTCTACTATAATAACTCCTGTAATCTCATACGTGTTTCATAGGCAAAACATTTGCAAGGAAAGGGCCTAAAGGATACGCCTTTACCCTTTTACGAATGGTGAATGATAATGAACCTAATTAGTAATTGCATTCATATAATAATTATGCAAGCAGAGGCACTCACCTTAGTACTGTAGATTAATCCAAAATAAACGAGTCAACAAAACAGAAAACAATCCTGACCCAAATCTCCCCTTCCAATTCTTAGTCGAAATACTAATAAACATCGACACCCTTCATCGTCGTCATCGACACGCATGATTAACTTACCCTCTGGCTCTAAGTCCTCTTTCTATGTTGACGGTTTTATTGGTTTCTAGGTAAATTACATCTTATGCGAATGTTGGGAAAGAAACATGTGTTGAATTAAGTCGAACTAGGACTCTATTAATATGTTTTACTTTTGTAGAAATACAATAGTTATTTGTACTAGTTTTAAAAGTGATACCCGCAAATTCATGAAAAAAAAGACTCGTTCAACAGGTGTTGTAGTACCTACAGGAAATTTTTTTGCATAGTTATCCATCCCATAATTGAATAATAGCATTGATATTCATGACTTACTGTCACTCAAAAATTGAGCTAAACGCCATGAAAACGCATAGTAAAAATCGTGAAAAAAAGTACCACTTTCCATACGATTTTTTGACACAAAAAGTCCGGTAATTTGACATTTTATTAAACAAAAATTACGTATTACAAATTGAAGCTCAGGGGCTAATTTGACTCTTGCACTCCCTCGATACGATTAGCCTTTTTCTAATTTTAAACCTTTGAATGAGCTCTGTAACATCTACATGCCCCGCAATTAAAAAAAATGTGTGATGAAAATTTTTAAAAAGTGCTAGTGTTGTGCTCAATTGTGCTGATCCAATTTTAATGAAAGAATCAGTTTTCCTCGAATTGAAACTTGGCCCTCGGAGCCCAATTTGACTCTCAGCCCCAATTTTTTTAAGGGACAAACTTCCGTTTTTCGATAATAGACTTGTGGTACAGTCTCTGTACTCAAATTTCGGGGGCGAACTCATCCCCCATGTTTTTTTACAGATATATGGAATAAACGATATTGGCAGCAATTGGGCTTACTGCATATTCCATATTAGATTGTGCCATTCACATTTTTGAAGATGGTTATACGGTAAACTACTTCAATCAACAATCTTACCAGAAAAGGACAATAATATGTGCATATATTTACCAAAATTTCAACACACTAGGTAGATTAAAAAATCTATGGATTATGCAGATTGTTATACCTTTACAACGCGCTCAGAATTGATAGTAGGCAGATTAATAGTTTAAAACTTTTCAAAAAGCCATTAAAATATATTACTTACCTAGTCTTAGAAAGTCGTTATACAATTGTGTTTCTTCGTCTAATGCGTTAGCATATTAATAATTGTTGGTCTATCGTCTATTTTTGTTTATGTGGGTACGTACCAATTATGATTGCCCTTTATCCATTGTATAATAGCCACAAAGGTTGAAATAGGTACAGTACAATGATTATTATTATTATTATTACTAGTATTACTTTTTAAGGCTACTCTGTGGTCATTCACCTTTATTTTCTAATTCATTATTTCATTATTAAACTTTAGATCCTTTTTTTAGACATTTCATTAATACTCCCATTCCAAAAATTTCTCGTTCAAAAAGGCACAGACCGTGAGCATAAATACACAATAGAGCACAATTGAGGTGCAGTAGATACAAAAATTAGTTTATTCTTGGGCTATTGGGAAGGGATGGGCTAAGTGAACAAACCCTTTACTTTTCAGCATATTTTCAAAAACCTACCCCGTTCTGCAGTATGCATACTAATAGTATATATACCCATTCATTTTTTTTTTCATTCGGAGGTGTAGGAGGATTTTTTCGTCTTTAAAATTACTGGTCTTGAGTAGGTATACTTCATGGAACAAAAAAAGGACTAAGGCTAGACGAACGGACGGAATTACTATTCTGGAAAAATACTCGAAAGTGAGAGGACGCCTCTTTGATGTTAATCTAGCTCTAGAATAGTACACAATTGTTGACTATGATCTCTAGTTTGAATGCATGCTGGGTCGTGAACCATGGACCTCCTAATTAAAAAAAATCGCCCCGTATTTATTTTGAACTCGGTACAAATCTCAATAAAATCTAAAAATTACTTCTCCTTCCGCTTCATTGCGCCATAAATGTACTCCCTCGGATTGTCGTCGTGCTTTCGAGGACCCAATTTGAATATCTCGTGCATAGAATCCAACAGTAGCTGCGAAAACAAGGACTGGTAGATGGGTCCTTGGGGAGCTTGCAGGTAAGATTTCACTAAATGCAAATGCTTCTTCAAACCCATCCTACGTTTCGCTTTCAGCACCGACTTTTTTGTATGCGGCGGATTCGGCTCATCGTCAATAGCATACTGCATATAATAACTTTGGTGCGCATGATTTGCAAACCATAGCAGGTGATTAAACGCGCCACTAAAGATTGTGTCACTAAAAAATCAGTGTGTCGCTATGGAATTGTGTATCTATGCCCCAATTTACACTTACGCTAAGATGCATTCAACCGCAAATTTAACCAACTCAGTTTTTGAGTCATCCAAAGTATGCTTCAGCGGTGCTGTTTTGAGGGCATTTGCAACGTTTTCGACTGATTCTTTTGCAAGTAGCGAGGTAGTGTAGTCTATGAATATCGTCGCGGTATTTATGTGCAATCTGCTTTGGGGAACTTGGAAAAATAGTTCTTCAGCTGTAAAGCAGATATCCCTGTCACTAACGCCCAGAATACAGATATTTAGGCTTAGAGTTAGGAAGAAGTTTTCCGCTTTGGGGAGCACCTTCACATCGTTGCTCTAAACGGAGGCATTAATTAATCGCAGTTACACTCCACTTGACTACCGGAAACGAAGTACCCGCAGCTGTAATGGTGAATTGTCCTGCAAGTTGCTCTTGTCTACTGTTATGTTCGTGCACAGATTCTGCATGGCGAATATGCTCGGAGTGATCCAACAGCTTGCAAACCATCTGCATGTTTAAAATACAAGCTTGGTCAAACGACCGTATACGAATTATGATGGGCCGAGATTCTTTCGGTTGCAAAACTCCTTTATGCTGTTGTGCTTCGACCGTCACCACTCCTTCCTGCACACATCTGAAAAATGCTTGTAAATGTTACACCTTGTGCAAGATTAATTACTGCAAAAAAGAGTAACCCACAATGCGATCAGGGGTTTGATTTGTAATAAATATCATACGGTCCGTGAAAGACCACACAGTAAAAGGTTCAATGACTAAATGGTCGGTGGAAAGCTCCACAGGATTGTCAATGTTCCGATATGATACTTTGGGTAGATAGTCATCCAAACTACCATACTTCTCAAATTCCATGATTCCAATCGCTTTCATAGTTATAAAAGAGACACTTTCGCCCATTTTTATGGGCACGACAACCTACAGTGAGTCCTTGGGTTTCCGTTTAGTAACTCGTTAACCTACCTCGTACTCCTCTGCCGTGATCGGCTGAAATTCAAATAAAATGCTGCACGATGTGAAAGGAGGAAGTGTTCCTTTCGGGTTTAGACAGGCAAATATGTCAAACTGGTACTCAAAGTTCACCCGTGCTAGTGGGGTGGTTTCAACTTCGTAGTCAACTGAGAAGTTGGAGTTGTTGTATAAGGGGAATGCCTGCTCGTGTGAACCAGGTGTAATTAAGTTAGTGTGTATGTTGGAAAACCTGAGCAGGCGGTCCCATTAGTCCGATAAACGTTGGGATGAGCTTAAAATCAAAGCCGTTAAAGTACGTCGATGGCATCGTCACAATCTCTGGTAGGACGTTCACGTGAATGTTGATGACGATTGTGCGATTGTACGACAAGTTCATTACGTACACAATTTGTGAAGTACCGTGCGATAGGTAACGCACATCTAATCGCATTTTGTAAGTCAGATTTGGCTAAAACTGGTCTTCAGGTGGTAATGGGTTTAAAATCAGCTTACCTGCATCAGATCGCTTTCCAAATGGAGATTCGCAATCTTCCTATGAATGCAATCGTGGACTAATTCTCGAAACGACATTCCTTTGGTTTTTTCCACGGGTTTGCATTCGCAGTTCTTCTTACGTTTTAATTTGGTCTCGATTTGAAAATTGGTAGTGTTGCGCATGACGAAGTTTGCGAAATAGCACTTTTCGCCGATTTCGTAATCTGGTGTGTAGATCGCTAACCATTTCGTTTCATCGCGCTCAATGGTCTTTAAAATGTTGTTCAATCTGGAAACAATTATGTCCATAGCAATTTGAAAAATCGAAAGGTTTATTCCGTGATCTCCTTCAAGTTCCTTTAAAGTGACGGCTTTAGTTTTGGCTGGGCTTCAAGGAAGCCAGCAAACAAACAAACCGCTGAGTGGTTAAGTATAGCTTTTTCTAATAAATTTCGACCTGTAGAACCAAAAAACAAAATATAATTGGCCAACCAAACCGATTTTGATAGGACCTCCCTATTGACCGAAACTCAACTTGTCCCAGATTGACTTAAAAACGGTGTTCTCTAGTAAATTTTGACTTGTAGAACACAAAAATGAGGTATATAATTAACTACAATACAACCGATTTTTAAAGAATCTTGCGAATTGACCCAAAAGTGGTTTGTGGGTAAGTTGTTCCTATAGTAAAATTGTTATTATTTTAGTATAGATCTCTTTGTTTTGCCGTCAGAAGTCGTGCAGAGTCATTCGGCGCACGCATTTCTTTGTACAAAACGACAATTCAACCATTTTACTTGTAAGAAGAACGTATACGCCACAGCTGTTACTCGACAATTTTTGTCTGACTATTTGGGATGTATTGTGGTATTGTTGTATTACATGCCCTTTTTTCTTTACTGTTGCTAGTGTACTAATATCCCGATATATTCATGTTGGTGCACTTCGGCTTTGCCTGAGCTTACCCTATACCTCTCTCAAGGTAATTTTGTTACTTTTGTCCAAAGTGAACGTAACAATTGTTTACCCTACCGCCGAAAATGCAAGTAAGTTTCGTAGTGAATGGATCCTTTCTTTGCAACCTTTCCTGAACGAATATTTAAATTGTTTTTACAGCCGCCCCGAAAACTCTCTTCCCAGAGACGAAGAGAGCAAATTAATATCTTAGAATTTCAGATATGATACGCCATTACTAGGTGGTTTTTGGTTTCTATGGTAAATTTAAAACGACCAAGACCGTGCAGTTTGTTTCGTTATCGCAGACCTTTTACAATTGGCCCGAAGTTCCAGGTAACAATGGGCAGTACTGGGCTACCGAATTTGGAAATAAATTTCAACCTGACCATTGGAGTGAGGATAAATACCGATAGCTAATCTTATCTGGTGGAGCAAACTTCGTCTGATTAGATTGGGACGGGGGTGTCATTAGAAGCGCGCTTAATTAATTTGAATTTTAATATCAATTGCAGTTAGGAGTTAGGACAGCAGCAGACCGCAAAATTAATTAGAAAAGTTTTAATTTTCGAGCATTATCGCAAGGACGCGACGACCGATTTGGATTTTCCTACGTTCTCTCTGTGCAAGGGCCGAATTTTATATAAGGTAAAGTCATTGTTTAGGGTGAATCTTTTTACCTTTGCATCTTCGCAAATTACATTTGTAAGTACCGTATTAAATTTTGATATTTCCTTTTCGCCGTAGCAAATAAAATTGTTCCTTTACTTGACCACCATGGCATAATTCTTTACACTTGCGGTAGATAATGGTGATCGGATTGACGCCCCCAATGACCACAAAATACAAAATTACTTACTTATCAATATTGAACATATTCCACAATACCCTCTTTGAGAATAAAAACCCAAAATTGTACGACATGATATCTTCAATCTAGAAAATAAACTAAAAAATGTGAATTTTGGTGTAAAATTACCTGCACGGTTGGGTAAACGCAGACCAATCGACCGAGAAAAACATTACGTTCCTCGCCCTGATTAACAATTTCATCTGAAAAAGCACTCAGTCGAACTTTGTAAACAATTTGTATTTCTTGGGCGCCTATAATCGTTCCCTTAAGGTTGACGAAGATTTGCATTTTTTCATTTGGAGCTACGGTGCCCTTTGTAGGGAGCAGTGTAACCTCGCTTGTTGGGAGATCGAAATCCTTCCGTGTTAAGTGAAAGTGCACGGGTGCAGATCCGAAGTTAAAGAGATAGAAGGATGTGGATACTAACGATCCCACTTCGACTTGGTCAAACTCCCACAGATTCGGAGTTGCCTATAAGTTCGTTTGTACCAATATCCAAAAACGTGAAGTAACTTTACGCATAATTCACTGTAGACGCATCTGGTATGGATTGTTACTGGAATCACAGCGTGAAGGCCCGATGAGACGGCCATATCCTTTAAACGCTGAACATTGCAGTTTACTCTAGAACTAGCGGGTGTATTTAAACTTCCAGTGTAGGACCATTCTAAATAAACTGCTTCGTTTGGCACCAGTTCGCCCACAGGATAGTTTACATTGAATCCGGTTGCACCACAAAAATCAAAATTGTATCTGAAAATGCTTGTTTAAAACTCAAAAACATGAGTAGCTCACCTCAAAGTGTGGATCGTTGGGTTTTTGAGCATAACTGTCAAAATATCTTGAGAACCCGGATGAACTGTGCGGAAACTTACGACGTTACCATCCCCAATTATTACAGACGGGTGTTCCGCGTAGCCCTTAAGAAAGAGTGTCGCGCAGTCCTCCTTTCGTCCATTCAATTCCAATCCCCATCGCTCAACGTAAGCCCTTTTGTCATTCGCGTCTGGATGCAACAGCACCACGATCACTTCGAAGTCGTTTACAACACCCTCCATAGGTTTCAGAACAAAGTTCCTAAAATCCAGTTAATCTGATACCACCTGTGGGTGACTCACGATTTTTTGGGCGAAAGAAACTTGAAGGACGTCGGTAGATGACTGGACGATCTCAAAATGGTCGTAGTAAAACACTGAACTGTCGGCGTTGTCGGCGGCATTATCACCACGCTAGGCTTGATTTCAAACAGCGGTAACCAAATTTTGTTCGCGAAAAACGAATTTCCCAACAATCTCAGCGTGACATTCAGCGGAACGCACATTTCCTCACTGGCGGTGGACCAAAATACGCACCCGGTCACCAATTTACTGAATATACCATCGGAAGAGTTGGGTTGGAAGCGACATTCGTACAGAACGGATTCGTTAGCAGGAATCATTACGGTCTTCGGAGTTATGTAGAACACTTCGTCGTTTTCTAAAGTTACAATTGAATAAGCAGCGAGTGATGGCACACTTACCGTTCATCCAGTGCACTTCGATCTTGTCATTTAGGTGGTTAGTCAAACTGGTAACCAAGGATTGTGAGTTTCTTCGATTTTCTTCGAACTCTACCGTTCCGAAATCGAGGTGCGTAACGCTAAGAGAAAACGGAGGCTTCTGGGTGACCTTACTGAGGCTGTCGTACATGTACCCCTCATAACCTTGCAAGGGGTATTTGTCAGAGAACTGTTTTAGGGCAAGCTGAAGGGGGTCAACATTCAGCGTAGGTGCCATTACTCCAACCAGTAGTATGATTAATGGGGGCTGTAAAAGAAAGGTAACACACGAGAAAGTCTGTGAAACTCACGTGATTGCGTATGCGGCACACTAAGTTAAGTGCGTAAATTTTTGAGGCTGCTGGAAGAAACTTGACCGATATATAAGCGTAGTCGCGCGACTTTAAGCTTCCACGAACTGTACTAAGTTTGAAGACTTCTTGATCAGCAAGGGCTTCGTTAACATCAAATTGGTAGAGGACCTCTTGATTTGACATGTTGGCCAATTCAAAGGTGTTAGATAGGCATCTCCCACTCTTAGTGTCGTAGAACAGGAGGATCTTAGTAGATAACTTAACGGATGGTCCTTAAATTTGAGTTTGCGCAACAGAACTAGGACAAATGGCTTACCTATGCAATCTCCTCTTACGCAAATTCTGTAGGAATTAAAAGTGTTACTTGAAATTTGGAAGTAATCCATATAATGCTGATTTGGCACTTGTGGGCTGAAAGATACGACACAATCTAGACATTGTCCACTTTTAACGCAAGGATTGTCTAATTTTATGTCAAAGGCGTGGTAGATAGGGTTGGTCTCCGGGTCTCTTGTTACAGTAAATGTATCACAGTTCTACAGTTGAAAGGTTAAACAGGGTGGGATTTTGGTGTGAACTTACTGGTGAAGAGTTTTTGATCTGAAGAAACTTTTTGGTAACGCTTCCGACTGGGAAAGCTCCGAAATGTACAGTTTTAATTCCATCCCGTTCTTGAGCGCAATCAACTGTTGGTTTTCGTAGAGGAGCAGGCCCCTGTAACTTCTGCGTACATTCACAGATGAGGTGCATTTTCAAAAAGTCAAACGAACTGAACAGTTACTGACAGAGGCCGTCTTTGTGCATAAATGTGCAGTACGACAATTTTCTTGTGGCATCCATATACTTTATTTTGCAGTTAATTGAGATGAATATCACGAACTGTAATGCATTTTACTGACATTTCCTATTTCTTTACATACGGGCAGTTTTCCAGATGTAACGGGATAATTTGATTTAAAATGGAATTGCTTTTTTACTCTCAATTTGTATTGCATCGTTAACGTGACAATTTATCATGCAATATTATGCTAGGGTCGATGGACGCACAGTTATTTTTACTATCCTCCCTCCCCTTCCTCCCAACCAGTTATTGATTTGTCAACCATCCTTGTGAGTTTTTCACAAGCTCACTGTCACTACCGTGAGGTCATCCGCAAATCCGATCACTTTCACACCGCTCCCGTGTTGTAATCTTAGCGACAAAGGTACTAAAGCAGACCCTTGTGGCACTCCCGCACTCGATTTGAAGTTATAGATCCCACCTGAGGATTTTTTAGCCGTCACTGTCCTCATAGTGAGTCCTTCGCACCCAAATCACGCAGCGCCTTTATGATCACCTTTTTAGATGCCGAATTAAAAGCGTTTTAAACATCCAGGGAGGCGACCAAACACACTTCCCGAGTTCTCCACGTTCCGGAGTATGCTAAACATATTTTATCTATAATCCGCAGTAGCGCATCTTTGGTAGACCGTCCTTTCGGGAAACCTGACTGATCTGGTGAAAGCTTGGCTTTGACCAATAGGGTTAACCGATCTTTGATAATTTTCTCCAAAACTTTTCCAGCGAAGTCTATTAGACGTATGCGTCGGAGAGCGCCTTTTGATTTCGGAATGGTACTAACAGCTTTCAGGGCCGATCTGAGGCAATTTTTTTTCGGGCCTCAAAAAAAGGCAGTGTACAACCTTCCTTTTTTTACCAAAAATCGACTGCACCAAAATTTCTCGGGAAAACACTTTTTCTTATTAATTTTGGTGCGCACAATTCAAAACGATTCGCACTTTTTCGATCAGACTTCTCAATCAAAAGTTATAGACTAGAAACCAATTTCGAAAGAAAATTCAAAGGGCTGTAACTTTTGAACTAGTAGCCCAATCTTAGAACTGTTTGAAATTATGGGTTCTACAGGCCATATTCTATAAGAAAATTTTCTTTCTGGGTCGATCTGAGACAATTTTTTTTCGGGCCTCAAAAAAAGGCAGTGTATAATAAACCTTCCTTTTTTACCAAAAATCGACTGCACCAAAATTTCTAGGGAAAACACTTTTTCTTATTAATTTTGGTGCGCAGAATTCAAAACGATTCGCACTTTTTCGATCAGACTTCTCAATCAAAAGTTATAGACTAGAAACCAATTTCGAAAGAAAATTCAAAGGGCTGTAACTTTTGAACTAGGTAGCCCAATCTTGGAACTGTTTGAAATTATGGATTCTACAGGCCACATTCTATAAGAAAATTTTTTCCGGGTCGATCTGAGACAATTTTTTTTTCGGGCCTCAAAAAAAGGCAGTGTACCTTCCTTTTTTACCAAAAATACGATTTTTTTGAAACGTTTTTTACTCCTCTTTTTCGCCTCTTTCCGCCTTTTTCAAGTCGCCCTCCCGCCTTATTTCTACTCCCTTCTTGTGTCCGTTAACTTCTCATTCACTTAACTTTATACTCTTTTGAAGCATTTATCGGGAACTTTTTTGATTTCTCCTGGTCCTTCATATTTTTTTTCTGTTTTAAGCTCGTTATCACTTCTGACTTACATCGTCTTTATATATTTCCTTCGTGCCAAAGTTAGCTCACGATTTCTTTATGTTTTCTCAGTGATTTTTTCCACGTCCCCATTACGTTCTCGCTTAATTCTCTTTTACGTCTTCTACATGCCTTCTTCAAGTCAACCTTTATTGTTCATGTAAAACTTGCCATATCGCCTGCAACACATCACCCTCACAAATGCGTCTTTGGCGCCCTTTTATTATTTCTAGGTCTTTCATTTACTTTTCCATGCCATATTCGAGCTTTTCTTGAAATCCATCTTAACATTTCTATCGCGCTTTCGTCATACATACTCGTAATGAAGGGATCCTTCACAGCACACGCTTTCTTTTTATTACTCTTCCACGCCTTCTTCACATTTTCTTTTCGTTCCCTTCCAGCCTTGCATTGGTACATAAACCCCGCTCTCTAGTCTCTCCTAGTGAATAGTATACTACTTAATCTCCAGAAATAATGTGCTTTTCTGTTGCTCCCTTAACTTGCTGGAGTCTTTAGCCTACTGACCTCATAAGAATGTTGAAAAAGAGAAAGGAAAATAAGAAAGCCATAAATAATATATTTACATATAAAACAATATAACAAATAACAATATTTTAAAATGAGGTAGAAGAAACATAACATTTAAGTAACACAACAAACAAAATAAAATAACTTACAGAACTACTATTTGTACAATCAGTTGCAAAGTCATAACTAAGCTCAGTTTCGTTTGCATACGGCTCAAAGCAAATACTGTCGATATACCGTTTAAAAGCCTCCCCTGTACAATTCGCTACAGTGCAGACCGAAATATTACTACTAACGAAAAAATCGTGCATTTCAATAATAAATTCGCACGTCCAATTGTTCCTCCCTAACCACACCTCCTCTAGTTGGGGAACCTTTTTGAAAAGCAACCTATAATCGATGTAATCAAGTTCGTTTTTCACAAGATTAATTACTTTCAAAGAGTTTTGCACGTCCGTATCAGAGTGAATGGTAAAATTGCTGATGTTATTGTTTTCCAACCAGAGAACAGTTAGATTTTTCATGTTTTTCAGGTGCCCTAACGAGAAATACTGAAACTTGTTTTCGATTAAATCGATCACCTCTAGGGAATCTAGCCCAATTAATCCATACCAATTGATACTTTCTAAGCGGTTGTTGCCCAAATATAGGAACTTTAAATTTCTTAGTCCGTTAAAGACGCTAGTGTCTATTATCGTTAAATTATTAAAGCGCAATTGAAGATCGATAAGATTTCGTAGGGGTTTAAAGTTATATTGCGATAGTGTTATTATGGTGTTGTTGTTGAGGTACAAGTAGTTCAAGTTATCCAATCCATTAAAGGCCAAGCGACTTATTTCGGTAATGTCGTTGTTTTCCAAGTACAAAATCTTTAAATCGACGAGATTTTCGAACATGTTGTCGCTTAGTGATGAGATGTAATTGCGGTTAATGTACAGATATTTGAGCCTCTTTAAACTGGCGAAGGCCTCCTGGTGCACGAAACTAATTCGGTTTTGGTTTAAGTTTAAGATATCCAAGTTTTCCAGATCGCGAAATGTGTCAGCGTCCAGGCGCTCCAGTAAGTTCCTGCTAAGGTCCAGCTGTAGCAGTTTACCAATTCCGGAAAACGTGTGCGTTGCAATCGTGCGAATTAAATTATTCCTTAAATTGAGTACCTTTAAATGTGGTAACTTGCTGAACGAGTAGTTGCTTATGCTAATTATTTGATTATCTATTAAAAATAGGTAAGTGATGGCGTTCTTTGGGAAGTGGAAGGTTTCAGTTGATATTGTACTTAAATTACAGCTCTTGCAGGTTAGCCAGTGGTACCTATTTACATTGATATTGAAATACTGAAAGAATGAGGATGTTATATTAGCGCAGACTATTTGTCTGTCGTTGGTTAGAAGTACTTCATAGGAACATCCGTAGTTGTTTTGTACATTTTTTGAGGGATGAAACACGATGATTACAATTAGTAGTGAAATCCATGCTTCCATCGTTTCTGAAAAATAAAAAAGACATTATTAGAAGCTACATAAAAAATGTAGATCGAAGGATTATCCAATACCATGCAACTATTAGTAGGTACTGAAACGGTGGCACTCTAAACGCAGAGGCAAAAAGGGAGAAATTTGGAAAAGTCAGGTTACCGGCCCAAGGGTTTCTAGTTATAAGTACACATTAGCCTGAAAAACAGAGACAAAGGCACTCAAAATTTGAGTAAAATGTTAGTTCAGCAATACATTTGCATTTATTCAGAAATAAATATGCAAATTATACAGTAACATATTGAGGGACAATTGAAAAAAAAGTAAATTATAATTTCGTAAACAATCCTACCTTGGCCTCTGACGGCAATTTTAGTATAATATAGCGACATCCTTTCCCCATATGAAACAACTACGCATTTGATTTACGATCTTACATTGTGTGGAATTGATGACAATCGATTTTTTAATCTGAAGCATAACTTAAACAAACACGAATCTACTAATCTACTACTTTGTTTTTGTGTCTTTTACTATTGTAGCGAGTATTGCAGACATCGGGGCGCCGGCAGATTGTTTCCGGTGATAAGGAATGAAAGCGAGGCTTTCTTTCTTTGAAATATGATATGCCAAACTATTGCGTTTTTGTTTCTAGAACATTTCCATTTGCTATACAGGGTGACAATTTGAAAACTTACCACCCCCCATATCTTAGTAAATAAACGAGATATTTTAAAAAATCAAAATCCGTTTCGGTAATTCGGAGGGGGAATCACAATGACATAGTTGGCGACGCACCCCCTCCAACCCCCTGCGCCCTAGCCACCCCAACTTTTAAATCTTAAATAGGGACTCCCCATGTGTGATACGTCATTGGAAAGCTCTTAAAAAATGCTTTCCAACCATAGCATTACATTTAGGTTAGTAATTATCGTGCAAATCAAAAAATAAACATGGAAAATCGTATTTAACTTGAACTTCCAAAGCCGACTCGACAGCAACTCATTTTTGATCGCCAGTTATAATCTATTCTCAAACTCTTATCGAACCTTTCCAATGTTGGTTTTGCAATATTTCGACATTCTTGAATTATTCTCTGTCTTAGTTCGTCTATGTTCGCCGGTTGCGTTTTAAATACGACAGATTTCAAATGTATCATATTAGCTTATTTTTTGATTTGCACGATAATTACTAACCTAAATGTAATGCTATGGTATGGTTGGAAAGCATTTTTTCAGAGCTTTCCAACGACGTATCACACATGGGGGGTCACTATTTAAGATTTAAAAGTTGGGGTGGCTGGGGCGCAGGGGGTTGGAGGGGGTGCGTCGCCAACTATGTCATTGTGATTCCCCCTCCAAATTACCGAAACGGATTTTGATTTTTTTAAATATCTCGTTTATTTACTAAGATATGGGGGGTGGTAAGTTTTCAAATTGTCACCCTGTATAAGAAAATTGAAGCGTGTTCATTCATTAATAAATCACGTTTACACTATTAATAAAAATTGTTATTACAAACTCCGCAAAGCAGCAGTTGATACATTCAAGTTATTTTATTATTATATTATTATATTAATTAATTCATTAAGGGAAGGGGTGGATTAGTTTTTGTTTTTATTATTCTTCTCTGGAGCAAAAGTAATGCGGTTTGCGAAATTATGCCCAACAATGGATATTTTTTTTACCTAATTTCGAACAGAAAATCTAGTTTTTCATATAAAATGGAATTATTAATTAAGCATCGTTTTAAATAGCTATTTATTGTAATAGTTTTTACCACCCGCGCGTTAGTAAGTGAGTAAAAAATGCCCCCCCCCCCCAACTTTTTTACGAAAATACACGCTTGGAAGCACCAGGAATCCAAATCAAATAAAATTTCGATGCTGTAGGTCTGTCTGTCGGTCCGTCTGTACCGTGTGTCCTATTTTAACTGTTGATTTAATACCACAAACAGAATCAATCTAGCTACGTTTGTTTCTGACATAGTGTGAATACGAAAAGTTTGACTATTTTACTACAAATGTAAGATGAAAAAAATTCGTTAAGCCGCTTGTAAGCAAGAGGCGAAGAGTGCACTTTTTCAAATTTAATAGCTCTTATGGACATTTCATGCCTTAACGAGAACACAAACATGAAATAATTTTTAATTTCTGATCGAGTGACACCAATACCAAGTGGTGTAGTTCCCAAGCTTTTGTAACTCAGACAGACAGACAGACAGACATATAAGGAGTGTAAAAGTGCACTTTTTATTTTTTGAAAGTGAAAGTGCCCAAGCTTTTGTAACTCAGACAGACAGACAGACAGACATATAAGGAGTGTAAAAGTGCACTTTTTATTTTTTGAAAGTGAAAGTGCACTAAAAAGGTAAAAATTGTTTATTTTAGACATTTTTACGTAGTTTTACTTAGAATTCAGAGCAAATTTTTATACTTTTCATACTTAAATATACGATTCATTTAATTACAGTTACAGGTACTGAAGTGAGACATGTTTATTACACCACTCACCTTAACCCCTTTAAGGGGGTAATTTTTGCACTTTTTTAAACATTTCGCTTATAACTATATAATCCTTTATAATCCTACTAGAAAATTTCTCTTCTTTTCTAAAGAGCATTAAATTATGCGTCGAATAGCGTTTGAAACATTGAAATAAGTTTAGTCGTTCTAACGCCTGTAGGTCGAAAATGACTGCACCGAAAAATATCATAGAATCAAACTTGTAGATACTGTAATTGTGAATCAGATGCTTTTTGACATTTGCAATTCGCTCACTCCAGTGCTCAGATATGAATTTTAAACCGAAAGAGTCCTTAGCGCCAAATTTCCGCTAAGGCAGTCCAACGCAGGCAACTTTGTCTGAACTCAAAACTTCTCACTTTCTTGTATTTGTTCAAGCAAAACTGAACGTAATCTACTGAATTTAAACTCAAATAATTTTAACATGTATTCATAACTTTTCACTAAGTTTCTGACTTCTTCTGTTCTAGAACTGTTCACTGGACATGTAATTTGTGCAAGAGGGCGCGGATAGAGGGACATTGACGGAAAAGTCACTTCGAACGTTCATTGAGGCCAGTAGGAGGAGAAATGATGGGCATCACACGTGGTTACAGACTCAGAAATCTGTCATCCTTCACGAGAAGTGTCGCAAAAGTGTCTACACGAAGGAGTCTAACATTGTAAAGGCTGAAAAAGAAGCAGGAAACAGAAGCCGTGTGACAAGAGGCCGTGAGGAAGTACCGAAATTCAACTTCAAGGAACTCTGCTTCTACTGTGGAAAGGATGCCTCTGAAAACTTCAAGGCCAAACTGAAAAAGCTCCCCCTTCACAGACGTGAAATAGTGCGTGAAATTCAGAGTTATTTCAGGCACTGACGCATAATTTAATGCTCTTTAGAGAGAAATTTTTTATAGGATAAGTATTTTTCGAGTTATACCTAAGCGAAATGTTCAAAAAAGTGCTAAACATTTTGCGCGTTTTAGGCTCTCAAATCTGACGCTCAACCTAGAAACCTTCGCAAACTCATATACCCGTTATTCAGGACCCCTTAAAGGGGTTAAAACGATTTCCAGTTCTCGAGTAATTTTTAGGGGCTAGACCACTAATTTGCTTGGGCTAGAAGTATACCTATTTACACTGAATTCTGAAGAAAGTACCTACATTAGTAGATTGATTTCAAAGATGTCTGATGCTTTCATGAAGTTTGCCGTGATTTTTTAGATCCTGGTTACAGCCCTTTGAATTTTCTTTCGAAATTGGTTTTTAGTCCATAACTTTTGATTGAGAAGTCTAATCGAAAAAGTACGAATCGTTTTGGATTCTACGCACCAAAATTAATAAGAAAAAGTGTTTTCCCGAGAAATTTTGGTGTAGTCGATTTTTGGTAAAAAAGGAAGGTTATACACTGCTTTTTTTGAGGCCCCAAAAAAAATTGTCTCAGATCGACCGGAAAAAAACATTTTCTTATAGAATATGGCCTGTAGATTCCATAATTTCAAACAGTTCCAAGTTTGAGCTACTAGATCAAAAGTTATAGGCCTTTGAATTTTTTTTCGAAATTGGTTTTTAGTCTATAACTTCTGATTGCGAAGTCTAATCGAAAAAGTACGAATCGTTTTGGATTCTACGCACCAAAATTAATAAGAAAAAGTGTTTTCTCGAGAAATTTTGGTGCAGTCGATTTTTGGTAAAAAAGGAAGGTTATACACTGCCTTTTTTTGAGCCCCCCGAAAAAGAAATTGTCTCAGATCGACCGGAAAAAACATTTTCTTATAGAATATGGCCTGTAGATTCTATAATTTCAAACAGTTCCAAGATTGGGCTACTAGATCAAAAGTTACAGCCTTTTGAATTTTCTTTTGAAATTGGTTTCTAGTCCATAACTTTTGATCTAATCTAATCGAAAAAGTACGAATCGTTTTGGATTCTACGCACCAAAATTAATAAGAAAAAGTGTTTTCCCGAGAAATTTTGGTGTAGTCGATTTTTGGTAAAAAAGGAAGGTTATACACTGCCTTTTTTTGAGGCCCCAAAAAAAATTGTCTCAGATCGACCGGAAAAAACATTTTCTTATAGAATATGGCCTGTAGATTCCATAATTTCAAACAGTTCCAAGATTGGGCTACTAGATCAAAAGTTACAGCCCTGGGTACAATAGAAACGCGTTTTGGTACAACCATGGTATATGGGTACAACGAGGTGAATTATTAACCAGTTACTTTAGTTCATTTTCTAGCCGCCCATTTTTCGAGATCAAACGAACGGTAGCCAAAATACTTATTATGCAAGGTAGGTACTGAGCAATTGAAATGAAAACTCTCTGCTTTTGAAAAAGCTTTCAAATTAAATTCCTACGTATATGTTACGCTGAAAGTGCGGCGAATATTCATAATAACCGGTCAATGTGAATAATTAAGGGAAAGAAACAACCCCCGGAACGATTTTTTAGAAATTCAATAGCTTCTCTGTTTTTTAAATGGCAGTATAGTTTCTCTTCCCCTAAAGTTCTAAAAGGAAATGCACCCCAAATTTATCACATTGACATAGGTAATCGCCGCATTAATTACATTCACCTATACGCTAAATGATTTTTATACATAAAATTATCAAAGCCTTTGTGCGAGATCGGAAGGACTTCAGCGAATTTTTGTGTGTTAGATCAGTATTCTATTACCCAGTTTTGACTCCACTCGCTTCCGACGTCCCATTCACCAGCAATTCACATTTTGGTGGATTTCGCTAAAAACCGCCACAACATAGCATTAAATTTTTGGAGCACTTCTCATAGACCGACCTTCTATTGGAGACACGAGAAAGAGAGACCGCGATTCGAGCGATTCGCGTGTCAAAATTCGCAGGGGAAGATACCTTTTGGACGCCCGCCTTGCAAAAGATGGTTAATTTCGCCCCTAGGAAAAAATACCGTCATGTAGGAATTGTGTGAAGAATCTTGCCGACGACACAAATTTGAAAACAATCAGACCAAAACTGTAGAAGAAAATAGGAAAAAACTGAAAAATCTCCAGGTTAGTACACCACGCTCGGGGATGGCGCCCACCGACCCCACATCATGTAGCTCCGTCCCGAAAGTTGTTAATAGTTGTTAATTACACGGCCTCGGTAAATACATGTACACTCCTCGTCTTTCTACAAGCGTTCATCTACGGGACCGCATTTGCTGTCAGCAAGCGAGCCAGCTTTTAAAAGCTACCTTTTTACAAATAAATTTGCAAAAATACGCTAAAAAACGCATATTTAAAGTAAAAGCGTAACATTCCGTTAATAAGAGGCGCTAAACTTGTCATATTTTCTTAGGCAGGGTTTTGAAAACAGCTTGTTTTTTGTTAATTAGGTGGACCCTGAGTGGACCCGCGCCCAAAATTCACGATTCTTCCGGATTGTTAAATCAATAAACTATTATGAGCGCACCTTTACGCATTGTTACCTATTTCCTGTGTGTCATGGCAAAGAACTCGAAGGGGTGCCGGGGTGGGTCGTGTAACGTACACGGATGACGGAGGTCGAGTTGGAAAAATCAGATTGTATTTGCTTTTATCTAAAAACGATCAATTGATTTGCGATTTTCTTAAACCCGTTAAATTATTTGTTGTAGTAAGTTACATTGAGGTCATGAAAGATTCCAAAGAACATTTTCAGAAAAAGTTGTCCCAATCGCGGCAATAATATTGAAAGATTGAAGCGGAGTTAAATTAAATTTAGGCAATGAAAATTTTCGTGTATTTGTCCAATTTTTTGGAAAAGGGTCTTTTTCTTAGAGCGCGGAAATAAAATATTCTTCTTGCCCACGTTAAACGATCTGAGGATCCAAGCAAAAGACACGGTCGGTACCAAAATAGACCCACCAACGGCACGAATACCCACCCTATTGTATACAATGAAAAAAATTGATTAGTAATTTTAGAACATTACTTTAAATTTGAATTGTGTAGTGAACGAGTGCTGCATACCTTTGAATAATCAGTACTATCTAAATCCATGCAATTTATAGCAATTAACAATGGAATTTGCGTTCGTTACTTTTGTGCAACAAAAAAAGAGGTGCCATAAAAAATAATTCAACTTACATGTTAGAAGAAAAAGAACTTGCAAATTAGTATCGCAAAATGACACTGACATTATTTTACAACAACATCTAACCACTACATTTTCATTACAGTTATGCAATATTAAAATTTTTGGTAGGTCCGAAGATCTATATGTAATAAACATAAAACCAGTTTTGGACAACTACTTCAAGCAGGTCACGATATTGTGGGTATTGTGCCACGATGCGAAGTTTCGTCGTCCTTGTGTTTTATGCTACTACACCAGGGTATCTAAATGGTGTATTGTTAAATCTTTTCGGTCATACTTTGCTGGCTGCGATCACGTTTCAATAGACTTTCCAGCACGTCATTTATACTGTAATCAAATCTTCAGGTCAAGGTTAATCCCCCACGAATACCTTTTGTACAAACAATACTACCGGAATAATAGCCTGAAATTAAAACCGAATCCACAATAGGATTACGTTTTAAGGTTTCTTTAATGCATACGATTACAGAGTTAATAGAACGACGCGATTAATATTCATCGGTGCAGTTATTATTTTTGGGCAGCACCAGCCTTTCCGAGTCTATCCCTTTGGTTTTAAGAAATTCGTAAATTTTCGCCCTTAATTGGGCGTCGATTTCCTTTCCACGCGCGAAAATCCACACTAGATCTGTTTAATAAAATCACTGGAGTCATTTTTTGGCATATTCCGCCGCGTCTACGCACCAGTATAGATCACGCCAAAATTGGAACAAGACCATAGTATTGCAAATCTATCATAGTCCGTATCCAGTACTTGATAGAAACCGGCACCTGGCAAATATTTGGCCAAAGTTTGCGGTAGAATTGTATTTACCCGATAAAGGAACAAACTTGGATCTTTTCTGGACGAACTCGCAATGCCTTCACTTACACGAAGGTTACCGGACCTACAAACACAGTAAGAAGGTGCTTTGTTTGGTATACTGACCATCTGCTAAGCGTCGTTACTGTTACTTCCAATTGTCCTTTGTTATTATCAATCAAGTCGAGTGTTGTGCAGCTTACTGTTAGTTCCATTAAATAAAACGTCCTTTCAATTTCATACCAATGACCCGCAAACTAAAGCATGACGTTCAATTAGAACGGAAATAGACCACAATGCTTGTTTCCAACTTACCCTCTCTAAACTAAAATTTTGTATATAATCGTGCCGAGGACATTTACCAAACCCGGATGGGGCGCACGTATGGACCAGAACCAGAAATATTCCTAACGATATAGGAGATTTGTACGTTAATGCCATTGTTGTGTCTACAAGTTTACATCTTTGCGCAAATTGGGCACTTGCGGTTAATTTCGAAGCGTCTCCATGATGTGTATACTATGGACTGTAAATGTGGTAGGTGCACCATTTTACAGGACGAATGAATCTACATAAAAAAGGTGAACTATCACCCGTAACGCAATCCAGTTTCAAATTAGAATTGATAAACGTTGTGAATTTACATTTGTTTTTGTATAAAATTTTCATCAGCAGTAAATAAGTATTTAAAATAATAATTTGTTGTAGTTATAATGCGCAAATATCTTAGGCGAGATGACCAAATTTTGGTCACTATCCCAAAGATATTGTTGCATTATATCAATTTATTATACATAGGGGTCACATTCTAACGGTGTTCCTTGGAATCCAATTACACCGTTTATTTACAGATGGATTTGATATATTGGAAATAATTAATAATCTTCTTGCCACCCTCACAAGAGGGTGGTCCAACACAGGAAGTAAGATGTGGGACCGGCCCAGACCCCTCCATAAGCTAATATACCCTGCAAGGTTTTATCAAAGAGGTAAGGACTCTGGTTTTATGTTCTGGAAATTTAAATCCTGCTATTGGTAGAGAGGGTTAAAATACATTCTTCTGAAACTACTTTAGAAACAACTACTTTTGTCCTTAAAAAGGGTGAAGAAAATGCGATTTTCCTCTCTAGTGAGGAAAGTAAAAAACAATTGCTGCGTTAATGACATTTAAAATTGAAACATATCCGAATCTAGATTGCTATATGTCAAACATCATTATTGCATTTGCATACGATAATTTTTCGATTTTGATTGTAGTTTAAAAAAAAATTATGTGTAAAACTTGAGAAGAAAGTGTTTTTCAACTTTCGTTCAATAATTCAAATTTGAACTCGTATTGAAAAACTCCACTTTCTTCTCTAGTTGTACAAATAACTATTAAAAATGAATTTAATAGGTACACAAAATGCGTTGGGGAAGTATTTAATAGGTAAAATGGGTTTTGTGCTATTACTTGCAGTGCAAAATTAGGTAATTAGAATTTCGAATACAAATGGTTTTAAGATTTATTCATTTGCAATAAAATCTACATTCGTTTTAATTATATAAACAGTTTTTCCATGTTTTTAAAGTATAGGTTTCGATGGGGAAAGTGACTTACTGTAAAGTTTATAATACAAATCCTAATCCTGGAATTTTGATTCAACGTTGACAATTTGCTAAGCTGACTTAGAAATATTAAAGGCTACATCCCTAAGAGAGTAATCGGAAGGTGGAGAGCCATCATTGGCATCAAATGCATTCATGAATTTGTTCTCTTCTGATACTTTGTTCATTGATCTGTCTATATCGATATTAACTTTTAATTCATTTAGTAGCAAATCTAGTTTGGCAAGAGACCGAAAGGAACGACTAATAACACGTGTGAAATTTATGCTATGCTTTTTCAAAGCTGTAGAAAAACCTACTTTGAAAATGACCGAAACATGTACAAATGGCGTAACAGCTCTGGAAAAAAACAAAGTAAGGTTTAAAGCTCTGAAAAAGCGCTGGACAGCACCTGGAAAACCTAATAACAATCTAGAAGACGTTTAAAGGACTTTGTTCAGTTTCTTTTAGGAACTCCTTAGGTCCTTACGGGAGCCAACTAAACACGTTCCGCAGATAGTTGCACCCAGAAAGCACTAAAAGAAATTAGTAATCACCGAAAAGTTGAAGAATCTAGAAAACTCTCACATGGCCCGAAAAGCACAGGAAGCTGGTTAGTTTGCTCTATAGTAAAGGTCTAAACAGTATGAAAATCGTTTGAACCATTAATTCCTTGGAGAACTTTATCTCTGCTATAAAGAAACTGAAAATCTTTGACTTGCCTTGCCCTATTATAAGTAGGGATCTAGAAACGACCTAAGACGCTGACGAAGGGGCCTTGTAAAGCACTATATAGAGTTCTGTAAAAGTCATATAAGGTTCAAGAAATGACCTCAGACGCCCACGAAAGTTGAAAAAGCTTTGGAAGGAGGAACAAGACTTCGAATGTTCTAAAATGCACTTTGGCCTGCGGTTAAAAAGTTCTTGAGAGCCTTCTATGACGTTTCCAAAACTTTCTTTTTTTGAAATTTACAGATCTATCTGTTATGTACAGGGTGTCCACTGCCGAGCTATGTGATGCGGTACGCTAATCCCACAATGAAAATGAAAATTGTACAGGGTTTCTTAGTATATTTTGACCCCCACTTATTTTCATTAATTTTGGGAATACAAAAAAACTTTCATATAAAAGTTTTAGCATTTTACGTATACGGACTAAAAATGTAGTAATTCGTCAGACCCAGACTGATAAACATCGCTTAAATAATCCATGGCAACGACTGTCGCAATTGGTCGCAATTCATAAATGAGTCTCTACTCTTTGGTGCATATATGAAGTAGAAAATACATTTTTAACTTCTTCCTTTGATCAGAACATATGCGATAAATCCACCCGCAATACTCGCTCCAGTAATTCAAGTTGGAAAACTCGATCCGGTAAATTTATGCCCTCGAAAGTCCCACCAGACATCTTCAATTGAAATTGGTAAATAAAGGCTAGAACATTTACTGCCGTCAAAATTTTCGAGAGCGAATCTTCTGGGTGAAAGTACTCTGAGGGCGATTTTTCTTGGAGGCAAATCTTCCACCCGTAGAATCGCTTAAAGGCATAATTAGTTACTTGATTTAATTGTCTTTTGTTTTAAAAATATGACTTTTGATGCCAAGAACTTGGGGACTTTCAGAAGCAGAAAAGCCATTCGTAAATTAAACAATTCCGCGCTCTCTACTTCATTTCATGCACTGTAATCATTCAATGGCTTTCAATACATCCAACAAATTAAAGCAAATCTATTTATATGTCGTGTGCTCGTCTCTACTTAATAATAAATTATAATTCCAAAATCTCTAGGTGGCCCAAGGGCCGAGATCTCAAAAGAACAGACAGACAGACGACGGAAAATTGAGCATATAGGCGTTACCGCAACTTCGTTGTGTTACCTTAAAAATATTGACAAACAACTAACGCAAGGATACAATCTTACAGTAATAATCAACATGAGGGATTCCCCTATGAGAAAAAGGGGAATTACTTCATTCAGTTGAATGCCACTATATCCATTGGCTGTAGTGCAGTAATGCTAAATAGATATTTACATACAAGTTGTCCCAAAATTTATCTGTGACTGAAGTAATATCTTACTATCAAAACAAGGAAATACCAGTTCTTTTAACGGATACGGGTAAGTACAAATCAGGGAATAATTAATATCACGTTTTTAATGTGAGATCTTTCATTGAATGTTTCTATCCGTATCTACCAACCTTATTATTAACGAGCGACCCAGCTCGCTTATGATTTTGAAATCCGTCCGTGCGTCCGTCTGTCCATCCGTCTGTGTACATAATCAGCCAGCCATGTGGCAGGTTATCTGCCAAAAAACGTTATTTTACCCATGCCAAATAACTAACTCATTAAATTTTGGTTATTTGGACTTTCTGTCCGTACGTCTGCGTTTGTCATTCGTTGTATATATGGGTTCGAAACAATTTATTAACTTTAAGCAAATAATCAGGTAGATAGTATCAAGTATGCCAAGTGATTAATTGCAAGTGAAGGGTTTGCAAGGGTCATTGGGCAAGACCAATAGTCAGGAAAAAGTTAAAGAGTTCTGTTTTTACCTAGGTTTCTACGTAATATTAACTTACCTAGGGATGTTGGTTTAATCTGGAGATTGATAAATGGGAACATTTTCCTTCTTGATTCTCTAGTGAGGGAAAAGGCATAAAAGGATTTATTACAGCAATGATGAGATATTCCTTGTGCAACTATCCTATTTATTACTTGGTTTGCGTTACACAAAACCGAGTCACTGGTTCAGATCCAGATTGAGAATGAACAAATTTGCTGTGACCACTCGTGTACCTGCGCATGCGCGATTCTGCCCAATATCCTTTCAGCTCTTCGTTTTATGTCTAAAAAGCGTGTACCCA